AAGTAAATTGTGAATATTTAATATGTAAATTGTGTATCTTTGGACCTAGATCCACCAAATAATTTGTCGTTTACAAAGGAGACATGTGAGAATTATATCGTAATTGTAATCTGCTGTATATTTATTTTAAAGCACACAAGGAGGGGAGAACAAGTGCACTCTCAAAGATTATATTTGAGTGCAATGCAATAGAAATTGTATGTTGCGCTTGAAAAGGATGTATTCCTTGTGAGAATAAATTTATTGATTCTTTGTGAATTGGTTAGACTGTAGATTGTAATCTACTTCACATTTTGGTTAAGTTCATGATAACCCAATAATCAGGAAATAATAAAATTATTGTAACAATTCGTAAAAGAATTCAATTGAAACTACTAGGACAATTCATAAAAGATGAGTGATTTATTTAATCATTACAAATAAATTAAAAGAGATATCAATATTGAAATTACTGAATTATCCATCTATTTAATACGGAGTATCAATTTGACGGAATAATAAACGGAAGACTACATTAAGCAAATATAGAAAAAGTATTAAAATAGTATATGTAGCTTGCTCGTTCCTGCATAAGGGATCATCTTATACACATTCTCACCGGAAGTGTAACACCAATTCAACAAAAACTCTTACCAACAGCAAGTAATTTGAGAAAAAATTTTAAACATTGAAAGAAAAAGATACTCAAAATACACAATATTACCTACACATCTTTTGTGTTTCAACATAATAGTCACGAATTTCTTAACTGATCGATCAATGTACTAGTCATGTACACTCTACTTTACTAATGATACCATAGCAAATTCCTAAACTCCTAGTCTAATTTATGCCATCAAAGCGCAAACATAACATCATTGTACTACGCTAGTTGCTTTATTTTAATAAAAAGTCGATGAAAAAGGTATGAAAAGAGAGATAAAATTAAAGTGGGTGTGTGAAAAGGTTGGGCAGCATCCAGTTTGTAGTAAAAATTATCTAGTTCATTGAATCAGTTCATTATTATTATGGAAGCTTGAAGTTTCGTCGTGGGTTGCCCATACAATAAGTCATGACATTCAGAATAGACAATTTACATTAAACCTTTTCAAGCCCCACCAATTTTCAAGAGATAAATATTTTAGGGAATATAAAAAAAAAAATTAGATACATTTTAGGGAATATAATAGAAATTTTATTTCAATAGATAAAACGCTCTCACCGCTTCAAACGACCTCCCAAATGCACCTTAAATTTCACCCTTAAGAAAGCTTTAGCACACAGCAAATAATTGTATGAAATAGGGTCTAAAACGATATTATTTTGATGTTAAAAAAAATTTCTTGCTCCGAGTGTGTTAGAGTAATAAATATTATGGAGTAAAGTAATATATTTTATGAGTTAAATGATGTACTTTATGTGTTTTAGAATAATAAAATTTTTGGGTAAGATAATGTATTTTGAGTTAGAATAATGTGCACTTTATATGTATTTTAGAATAATAAATTTTTGGGGTAAAATAATATATTTTATGTATTTTTGAATTGTGGTCGACACAACTGTGTGGGCCGTTAGACACGCAATCGTTATGCTGTGGAAACATGTCCACCTTGCAAGGCGAACATGGTTCTATATCATAATTACTGAACTATATGTTCATAATTATAAAGTTATATATTCATAATTTTTTAACTTCATATTTATAATTATTTAAATATATATTCACAATTACAGAACTGTATGTTCATAATTACTGAACGATATGTTCATAATTATAAAGTTATATATTCATAATTTTGAACTTCATATTCACAAATCACAATTATTGAATCTCCATATTCATAATTACAGGACTATATGCTCATAATTATAGAACTATATGCTCATAACTTTTGAACTATATATTTATAACTAGTTTTTTACGCGCATTGCGCGATTGGATAATGCCCAATGCTTTTTTTTAAATAAGTACTTTAAAGTATATGAAGACAGGATTATATTGAAATTGTTCATGCATAGATAATTGAAGGTTGAATTTGCGTATTTAAATAAATAATTCTTCTCCTAAAGGTTGAGTCCCCAACCCCAGACAGGGTCAAATGCTGATACGCACAAGGAATTTGTCCACTTTGGACATAATTCCCGCACTGCCGCCGCCGAGGTTCAAACCTTGGTCTCTTCTCCCAAATACTACCCACTAAACCATTGAGCTAAGCCTGTGCGGGTTAAATATGTAATTCTAAGTTTACAAATGCAAGATAAAATAGTCAATATCGATTATAATTGTCAATAAAATAATTGTATAGGTATGATTGAAACCAAATACGGGACATAAGGGAGAACAAATAAAAATTAGGGCATAAAATATTAAATATATACTAATGGATAATCATATAATTAAGGATAAATTAGAAAATCTTAAAAGAAAAAAATTAAAACCTGAACAATATGAATCATTCATTTGATTTAATAATTTGGCGGTCATTTTTTCTACCCAATGTTAATAATTAAATAAATTCGCTGGTCAAATTCGCTAGTATAATCCGCTAACGCTAACCGCTAACTGCTGATTGTCAAACAAGGACATTGCGAGGTAATTCTCACTTCAATTTGTTGTGTGATTTGAATACTTTCTTTGTCACAAAATCTCTCAAGTAGTTAATATGGTTGGCTTTATTAATTATATTTTTTTAATTTTTTCATGGTATTAATAAAATACTTGGTAAATAAATATATAGCATTATTTTGTATTATAACTTTGATATTTAATTAGAAAAATAGTGCACAAAAAAGATAATAGATTATGTAGTGAATATAATCAATTGATGAATTTGAATGTAAAAATTTTTACATTTGAGAAAAATAAAGACAATATAACTAATGAAAATATTTCTTTTAATTAATTTATTGATAATTAATAATAATTTTTTTCACTGAATAAAGACATTGTAAGAACAATGTAGCGAATATAATCAATTAATAAATTTGAATATAAAGAATTTTTATATTGAAGAAAAATAAAGACAATATAACTAATAAAATTTTTTATCTTTAAATACATACTAATGGATAATCATATAATTAAGGATAAATTAGAAAATCTTAAAAGAAAAAAATTAAAACCTGAACAATATGAATCATTCATTTGATTTAATAATTTGGCGGTCATTTTTTATACCCAATGTTAATAATTAAATAAATTCGCTAGTCAAATCCGCTAGTATAATCCGTTAATGTTAACCGCTAACTGCTGATTGTCAAACAAGGACATTGCGAGGTAATTCTCACTTCAATTTGTTGTGTGATTTGAATACTTTCTTTGTCACAAAATCTCTCAAGTAATTAATATGGTTGGCTTTATTAATTATATTTTTTTTAATTTTTTCATGGTATTAATAAAATACTTGGTAAATAAATATATAGCATTATTTTGTATTATAACTTTGATATTTAATTAGAAAAATAGTGCACAAAAAAGATAATAGATTATGTAGTGAATATAATCAATTGATGAATTTGAATGTAAAATTTTTTACATTTGAAAAAAATAAAGACAATATAACTAATGGAAATATTTCTTTTAATTAATTTATTGATAATTAATAATAATTTTTTTCACTGAATAAAGACATTGTAAGGACAATGTAGCGAATATAATCAATTAATAAATTTGAATATAAAGAATTTTTATATTGAAGAAAAATAAAGACAATATAACTAATAAAATTATTTCTCTTATTTAATTTATTGATAATAAATATTTTTTTTTAATAAAGGCATTGTGGACACATAATTCTAAATTAAAGAAATGCATATGTATTATTTTTTGTTATAACTACTAAATTATTATTTATATAATTTAATAAGAGTAAAATAGAGTACTAATTATACCAACTTTGATTGGGATGAGGTTCGAACCTAAGACTTTTTTTATTGAAATCAATGAGTAAGTTAACGGTGAACTAACGGCAATTCTTAAAATTTTAACGGAATTAGTAACGGTGTGTGGGTATTTTAGAAAATTTTAGTGTAAAATTTAAATTTGATCAATCTTTTAATCAATCTGAACCATTCATTTGATTAAAATATGTGACCGCCATTTTTTCTACCCATTATAGGCCTAACTCTCTTGGGCTCTTATTAGTATAGTAGATAGATAGTAGATAGTAGATAGATAGTAGATTATGAACAATTTTAAAATTGTGTTCACTTTGCAAGGTGGACATGGTTCCACACCATAATTTGCCTTTGACACGTCACACATACTATGTGTTCAGACGTTATGCCATGGAACCGTGTTCACCAACACGGTTCCAACGGTGTTAGTGCACCGTTATCTTTTTTTTTTTTTTTTTTTTTTTTTTTTTTTTTTTTTCTTTTAATTAATTACGTGACTGCCTACACATTCACTTTGGAACCATGAGATTATGAATTTTCTGTTATGAGATTATGAATTTTCTGTTATGAGATTATGAATTTTCAGTTATGAGATTATGAATTTTCTGTTATGCGATTATGAATTTTCTGTTATGAGATTATGAATTTTCATTACATTCATAATTTCGGAGTTTCGGACATTCATAAATTATGAATTCATGCATGCACATTCACTTTGGAACCATGCCTACATATTCCCGTCCGAAATCACGGACATTCATAAATTATGAATCCATGCCTGCACATTCACTTTGAACCATGCCTACACATTCACTTTGGAACCATGAGATTATGAATTTTCTGTTATAAGATTATGAATTTTTTGTTATGAGATTATGAATTTTAAGTTGTGAGATTATGAATTTTCTGTTATGCGATTATGAATTTTCTGTTATGCGATTATGAATTTTCATAAAATTCATAATCTCATAACAGAAAATTCATAATTTGATCAGTAACGCGCCGTTAACTCCACATCCACGATTTTTTATTTATTTTTTTTTTGCCTAAAAACGACGTCGTTTTGACTTGTGTTCACCATTCTCGGTGAACACGATTCCACGGCATAATTTGCGCTATGTGTTGATGTATTGAATTGGGCCTTGGGGGCAAACAAGGCCCAAATTAAATATAGAATGGGCCATATATGCCGACCCTAAATACGGATCCAATCCATTATTCCCTCATCGGCGATTCGCCGGTTATACGAAACTGCAGCCAAGTAGCCCAACACTCTCATTCGGAAAATGCTGATTTGCTGACATTTGATGGAAACCTCCGCTCGCGACGGTGTTCGCCGGCTCCAACGTTAAAACGGTTAGCTGTTTCTTTAATCAGTCAATCTCTTCTGCGCACTCCGTTCCATTTATTGATGTTTTTTTTTGCCAGTTTGGGTTTCTGTTTCCGGCTTGTTTGCAACTATCTCTTGCTTGTTATCAATGTGAATAGAAAAATTTTCGGTAAATTTTTAATTTTTTTTGTTTTGCTCTTTGAAGTATACAGTAATAAAGCAATCGGTGGTGCAATAAGATGCGCGCTATTTTGTATATTTTTCGAGAAGGAAATTAGGATTTCTGTTCAATTTGGCTTGGCGTTGAATTTTTCGATAAAAATGATATTCCAATTTGATTTAATCTGGAGTTATTATTTTTATACAAGGCAAAAAAGATTTTATTGTTTTGTTTTTGGATTTTTGTACAGAAGATTGATGAACGTAGGTTTTGAGGTAGGCTAAGAATGAAAGTGATCCTATTAGTAGCATTCGGAAATTTTGTAGCTGAAACTTCTCTGATGCATAGAAATGGGATGTGGTTATTAGATAGGGGTTATAGAAACATACTTTCTCACCAAAAATGAAAAAGGATATTAGATTCCAAGCAACAGAGTTGTTCAAATCTACTACTTTGTCCTTTGTCCTTTGTTGAGTGGGAAGAAACTTCTCTGATGCATAGAAATGGGATGTGGTTATTAGATAGGGGTTATAGAAACATACTTTCTCACCAAAAATGAAAAAGGATATTAGATTCCAAGCAACAGAGTTGTTCAAATCTACTACTTTGTCCTTTGTTGAGTGGGAAGGTACTTCCTAGGGAACAAAAACTCCTAGGGAACAAAAACTCTTACCCCTATGAGCTAAAACAAGGGTGAACACTAAGGGTGTGTTTGGTTTGAACATGGGAATCGGAATCGGAATGAGAATCAAATACTTGGGAATGGGTTCTGGTGAAAGTATTTTGCATGTTTGATAGTAGGGTGAAATTGGAATGACTACCAATATTGATGTTTGGTTATGTATGATCTATAATCGGAATTAAGGTTTTAAAAATACAAAAACAAAAAATCAAGGCAATTGATCTTAAGAGCAGCGATGAAGTGAGTAGGCAATGCAATGAGGAAGTCGATGAAGTGAGTAGGCAATGCAGCGAAGAAGTCGATGAAGTGAGGAGACGAAAAAATGAGAGGAGGGATAAGGCTGAATTAATGGAATGATACCTTATTTGAATTAGGTAATAAGTTTTGCAATTATAGGGGTAATCAAATCTTATACTTGTGTTTTAAAAAGTTGTCAACCAAACAATGTGTATAATTTTCATTCCCATTCCTTGTGTCTAACCCCATGAACCAAACATGCCCTAATTTTTTCTTCTATAGATTTTCTTTGGAGAAGCCTTTTGTAGATTTCTGCTTGACTTGTTGACTAAATGTTTCAGTAATGAATGCTGGAGCATCCAGATGTTATTTTTCTTCAATGTACTACATAAAAAGGCTTTGATGCTAAAGTTAGCAATTAGTGCCGGGAGTGAAATTATACTGAAGTAAATGGAGTTGCAACAATATTAACTTTTTGTTATTGAGCAAAGTCACAATAACATTTATCCTATACCGGCTTCCTTGACTGCCATGTGCTTTGCAGCCTACATTACTGGTAAACCTGTTTTGTATTGGTATAGTTGCAATGCTGTGAACTGCAAGTGTCACATGTCACCAAACTTAATAGCCCTTCTTTTCACTTCTGAATTGCCACAGATATTGTGATATGCCACTTTAGACAATCATTAACTCTATTTATTTTGTTCGTTTTTTCTCAGATCCTTTTCTATTTAACGTAAATGCGTAATCTGTCTTATCTGCTGAGATGGTAATATGTGCATTTAACTGTTGAATCACCCGTTATAAATTAAAAGATTTTTTTCCAAAAGATTGAATATTCACTTGCTATGCATATCCTTTGGGTACTTTGTCATACAGAGCTTTAACAATTTTATGGGAATATTTTTTGGCTATGGTTCTACAATGATGACTCTAGAAGTGGCAAAGAACTCACTTATATTAATGTATAAATTAGACTGGATTGGGCCTAAAATCTGGATTGGGATATGATTCGTGTATCCAGCCCACATACATTGAAGGGGGCTAAACTTACCACCAAACTAATCCTCGTCTCCTCGAACACCATACTTTGAAATTTTATGGATATATCTTGTCTTGACTTTTGTGAGAATAAAGGTTATATTTAGTAGTTTCTTTATTTCATCTAATCATTTTTAGTAACTGAGTGTAGAGTAGCAAATGGGGTGAAAACTATGATAGCACATTTGCTATCTTGTTATGTGAGGATTTGATAGAAGTGACATATGGTAGTGTAAGATGCATAAGATACCACTTGAGTTGATATGGAGTCTTCTAATACACAAACTATCTTGTTTCTCTATTTTTCAACTAAGCAAAATCAAGAGAAGGATTTAGGCAAAAACTTGATTACGATGTAACAAAAAGCTTGAATATCTAATAGAAAATACAAGTGTGTTATGTTCTTTTTCCTCAAAAAGTTTTACTTTTTCCAATGAAGTATAGCAATACATCCTTAGTAGGATCAAGGAGGGGTGTAAGGACATTGTGCAGGTCTCCATAAGATATGAATGGTTTGATGTTGTGTTTCTCAGTGCTGGTTTTTAATTACCATTGTTGCTTGTTTGTCCTAACTGGAGCTTATTGGAAAAGAGTGTTTTAAAAAAAAAAAAAAAAAAAAAAAAAAAAAAAACCCTTCAACCGTGAAGCTTTTTGTCTCTTATTTTGCTTAAGAGCCCTATGTATTTTATAGTAGATCAGATATAATAAGCTGTGGGCCAAACAAGCACTTGGTGTCCAATTATTATGGTGGATTTTTTGACATTATACTCTATATTAGATTTGCTAGTTGCTACTGATTCTTTATATTTAGCTATATATGTTTTCATATTGTTGGGGTCTGGAACAGCATTTCCTACCACCAAAAAGTTGTTCGCATATGGCAACTAGGCGAAATATTCGCTACAGCCGTCTTCCCACAGACGAAGGTGATTATGATTATGATGATCGGCCAGGGACAAATAATCACAGATATGACTATGTTCCAAAATCATATGAGAAAGTCCCATGGAAATCAATTGGCCTAGCATGTTTCCTACTCTGCCTTGGCTGTTTGCTTCTTCTCATCTCATTCTTCATCTACACTGGCCACATGGGTGGAGAGCTATCGCAAGCTTATGGCTTGTGTGCACTAGGGGTCCTTTCCTTCATCCCAGGTTTGTCAACACACTTTCTGACAGCTAGTTTACGTGGACTATGGAGGTTGTAATGGATCATATAACCATTAGCGTACTTCACATTCTAGCGTCTTTTACCCGTGTGTCATTTTTTTTTTTTTTTCCAGGCTTTTATGAGACCCGGATTGCTTATTATTCTTGGAGAGGTGCCCAAGGCTACCGCTTTTCTCTGATCCCTGATTATTGAGGCATTCTTTTTCTCTTTCGACTTTTGATCATTGAAGTCCCACTGGACATCATCCATTATGATTTGGAGGTGGTTTTTGTACCTTCATAAAGATGCATAACTAATCACAATTGTTCCATAACTTGAAGTGTTGATGTCTTGCTGATGCTCAGGCATTCAGACCATTTTTACTATTTTCTTGTTAACAAGGGAAAAAAAAATGAAAATGCAGAAACTCCCCAATGGTGGAGCTGTCTCATTGTGATTTCAGTTCGATTTTGTCTAGATTGGCCGCGTCCTCCAACCAGTTTTGTAGACGGGGGTTTTGGTTTTAGTGTTAAAAGCTATAGGTTATGTTTATTTCCATTCTCTATTACTCCCCTTTTATCATTCTGCATTCTATTTTCTAGTTTTCAAATGTGTAGTTATTAGTAAACTGTAAACATATCCTTTTTCCTTTCTCCAATTATTCATTTCTCCGCTTAGTAAACTCATTCCTCAAGTTGTAATCTTACACGATTTTCTTTATTCTAAATTATACATGAATCTATGATTTTTTATGCCAAATCATATTTTCAATCCCCATTTAATTTATTTTTGGTAGAAGGGTCAAATACAACCATTTACTATAAACTACTGTTCAATTAACACCTTCGATTAAAATAAGATTTAATTAGACATATTTACTTTTAAAATTTTATTCACTTAGCATTTTTTACATGTTTTTTCTAGGTAACCCTTTCACAGTGTTGACATGAAATTAAATAAAAATAATTTGCGGACTTAGTTTCATTGTTGATTGTAAATCCATTCACACTCAGAAAAAACAATTATTCCCTCCTTCCTCATCTTCACTGCTACTTTCGCGGTGGTTGTTTCTTAATATTTTGATTTGGAAATCGAATGAACAAGCAGATGATCCACATCCGCCATCTTTCCTCACGGTTCAACCTCGACCTCCTCTCTAATTGCTCTTAGTACCCCATCTTTGACGACTTTTGCTCGTACCTCCCCAATCATGACTGCGGTCGTAAAACCCCTAGCTCCTCTTGGCTCTCACAGCTAGTACCGTACCAATACCTACATGCTCGAACTTGTTATCTACCGTTGTATGTTGGAGTATCCCTGCCTCAAATCCCATAACTCCTTCCTCAGATGAATCACGTTTAGGGTAATCTTTGAAAATTTGTTGTGGTAGAGCTTTGACGTTTTCGGGTGGGTCTGGAATTCTACTTCTTGCATTTTGGCATGGTACGGAAGGTAGACGGTGTCGGTGCATTCGAGACATAGTTGTTAATGAAATCTGTCGGCGCAGTTGGTTTTCGGATCGAAATCTTGAGAGAAGGCTGATGCGGTGAGGATAAGGAGGGAGAGAGTAGTGATTTTCTTCGAGTTTGAATGACTTTAACAGCCAACAATGTACAAAGTCAGCAACTTATTTTTATTTAAATTTCATGTTAGCATTGTTGAATGGTTACTTAGGGGAAATCTATAAAAATGCTAAGTGAACAACATTTTAAAAGTAAATGTGTCCAATTAGATCTTATTTTAAAAGTAATTGAACATTTGTTGATAGTATATGAGCATATTTGATCATTCTGTCTATATTTTTCTTACTTTTTCCTTCCTTCGCTCTATGTCCAAATAACACATTTGTAAGAAATAAGTTATTTTGTCTTTTATTTAATAAACATCGAAATAAATTACCTTAAGTAGTAAGACTTTAACGACCGCTTTAATGATCCCTGAAAGTAAGGAATGACTCATTAATATGTATTACGAAAGATCACTTCAAATAGAATTTAATGTCAATTCACATGATATATCGTTATAATGGTTAGTATTGTTAGGTAAGATTTTTTTACTGATCCATCGAATAAAATTACTTCAAACGAAAATTAAAGTCAATTCACACGTTAGATCGCTATAATAGTTAGCACGTTATGTAATATTTTTGTATTGACGTATTATTAAGTAAAATTACTCGTTCCAGATCGCTATAATAGTTAGCACGTTATGTAATATTTTTGTATTGGCGTATTATTAAGTAAAATTATGTTGGTGGCGTGGTGCATTAAGTAAAATTACTAGTTGTTATTGTTGGTGACGTGGATCTGACAATTTTTAACACAATAACGCAACACAAAAAACAATCATGGTACAATCTCCGAAACAAAGGGCACAAGTGAGTAAACCGCAAGGTGACATTTGTGAAAAGCTTTGTTAGAATATAGGATTAAATAATCATAAGATCTGCAAATACGAGGGCATAATTTTAACGATACACAGAAAGCACTCAACTCATTTCTGCTGCCCAGCCACATTCTCCGCATTGTTGGAGGTTCACTCTTTCAACGTGCGCTCTCTCGAACTCCCCTATCTCTCTCTCTCTCTCCCTAGTATACTCCGTAAGAATATATAGGAGAGGAGTATATACATTTCGCGGAATTCTCTTCTCTCCCGAGCTCGCTGCCGTTCGTTTCGTCTCGGTGAGTTTCCGGATTCGTTTGTGTGTATGTGGATGTAAATGCATGGATGGTAGGCGTGCATGCCCTAGAACTGTTCAGTATTGTGGAAAAGTTGCAATCATCTTGTTTTTTTCCGAAATCCTTCAGATCTGTAGTTTAGTTGCTAGGGTTGCTGTCTGTAAACGCGGTGGTAACAGGAGCTTGACCGATTTGGTTTGTTTTCGGTAAAATTTTAATTTTGTTGTTTTGCTTTTTGAAGTATACAGCAACAAAGCAATCGGTGGTGCAATAAGATGCGCGCTATTTTGTGAATTTTTTGAGAAGGAAATTAGGATTTCTGTTCAATTTGGCTTGGCGTTGAATTTTTCGATAAAAATGATATTCCAATTTGATTAATCTGGAGTTATTATTTTTATAAAAGGCAAAAAAGATTTTATTGTTTTGTTTTTGGATTTGTGAACATAAGATTGATGAACATAGCTTTTGAGGGTATGCTAAGAATGAAAGTGATCCGATTAGTAGCATTCGGAAATTTTGTAGCTGAAACTTCTTTGATGCATAGAAATGGGATGTGGTTATTAGATAGGGTTATAGAAACATACTTGCTCACCAAAAATGAAAAAGGATATTAGATTCCAAGCAACAGAGTTGTTCAAATCTACTACTGTGTCCTTTGTTGAGCGGGCAGGCACTTCCTAAAGAACAAAAACTCTTCCCCTATGAGCTAGAAGAAGAGTGAACACTAATTTTTTCTTCTATAGATTTTCTTTGGAGAAGCCTTTTGTAGATTCATGCTTGGCTTGTTGATTTATAAATGTTTCAGCAGTGAATGCTGGAGCATCCAGATGTTATTTTTGTTCACTGTGCTACATAAAAAGGTGTTGACGCCAAACTTAGCAATTATTGTAGGGAGTGAAATTATACTGAAGTCAATGGAGTTGCAATAATATTAACTTTTTGTTATTGAGCAATGTCACAATAACACTTATCCTATACAAGCTTCCTTGACTGCCATGTGCTTTGCAGCCTACTTTGTTGGTAAAACCTATTTTGTATTGGTATAGTTGCAATGCTGTTGAACTGCAAGTGTCACGTGCCACCAAACTTAATAGCCTTTCTTTTCACTTCTGAATTGCCACAGATATTGTGATATGCCACGGTAGACAATCATTAACTGTATTTATTTTGTTCCTCTTTTTTCTCGGATCCTTTTCTATTTAACGTAATCTGTCGTATCTGCTGAGATGGTAAATATGTGCATTGAAGATCACCCATTATAAAGTAAAAGATTTTTTCCAAAAGATTGGATATTCACTTCTTGTGCATATCCTTTGGATACTTTGTCATACAGTATATACAGAGCTTATTCTATAGGAATATTTTTTGGCTATGATTCTACAATGATGAGTCTATGCAGTTTGGTACACAAAATGAATTTTGAATGAATAGGAATCCTATTCCATAAGGAATGGAATAGAATAGGAATTCTATTCCATTGTTTGGTTCGTCGAATGAATAGACTTTAGGAATTTTATTCTAGTGCTTAGTTGAATTAAGGAATAGGTATGTGATAAGCAGTCAAAATGACTTACCAAACAATGTGATAAGAATTGTATTATTATTACCACCTCTACTACTAATACGTAATAAAAATAGGTATCTTTTATAATATATAATAAAATTAGGTAAGGATAAATCAGGTATTACCAAAAAAGGTATTCTAGAGAACTGGGGAATAGCCTAGCCTAATACTAGCCCCCCTCCCCCCCTCGGAATAGCTATTACCCTTGCAAGGGGAATAGCTCATTCTTGGGAATATTATTCTCGGGAATAAAATGACTTACGAAACAATGGAATAAGTCTATTCCTCGGAATGTTTTTCCATTCTAGACCTTTTCCGTGAACCAAACGTGGAAGTGGCAAAGAACTCACTTATATTACTATATAAATTAAACTATATTGGGCCTAAAAGCTGAATTGGGATGTGATTCATGTATCTTTCTTATGCACAAAGTGTTTATAAAGTAAACAGGCATCGTTTATTCTACTTTGGTTCTTACCTAACTCTCTTTTACAGGAGAATGGATGGATCAAGTGCCCAAGGTGGTGGTAATGTGGACTCGTTCCTGAGGAACTATAAGCTTGGGAAAACTCTTGGCATTGGGTCCTTCGGTAAAGTTAAAATAGCTGAACATGCATTGACAGGGCACAAAGTTGCTGTCAAGATTCTTAATCGCCGAAAGATAAAAAATATGGAAATGGAAGAAAAAGGTACTGCTATTTACTTTAATTTCTCATTATCTGTTACACATTCAAATTATGGTCCAGTTCTAACGTAGTTTACGGAACTGCTTTTTGCACTGGCCACTTTATTACCGATTCCATGCTAATTTAATGCAAAGCTTTATTCTTATCCAACCGTCCATTGAGCTGTTTTCCTTTTCAATTTTGATTTGCCTCTAAGGAACTATATTCCCAAGGGCGTTTAGTGACTTAACTGAAGTCTGCTTTCATTTTTATAACCTCTGACGCTTTGGGTCATCCTTGGCTTGTTCTAGTTCTGCTTTATTTATTTATTAAATAGCTCTCTGTTTCAGACATTTTTACTTTGTTATAATAGCTACCATCTTAGTTAATATGGGGTATGTTCTTGACTTTTTACAGTTAGAAGGGAAATCAAAATTCTGAGATTGTTCATGCATCCTCATATCATACGGCTTTACGAGGTCATAGAGACACCAACAGATATCTATGTTGTGATGGAGTATGTGAAATCAGGTGAGTTGTTTGATTACATTGTAGAGAAGGGCCGTTTGCAGGAGGATGAAGCTCGCAAATTCTTTCAACAGGTAAGGTGCTTGGTTTTTGTTGATTTTCATGAATATTTACTTTATTTCACAAATTAATGGGTCATTGATTTTCTGAAAAGCAGATCATTTCTGGAGTGGAGTACTGCCACAGGAATATGGTGGTCCATAGAGACCTTAAGCCTGAGAACCTGCTTTTGGATTCCAAATGTAATGTGAAGATTGCTGATTTTGGTTTGAGTAACATCATGCGTGATGGTCATTTCTTGAAGACAAGCTGTGGAAGCCCAAACTATGCTGCTCCAGAGGTACTGAATCACTGAGCATTTGATTTTGGGATATTTTTACTTATCAAAAGAGGAAAAATTCTCCAGATTAGGGGTTGGAAATTTGTAAGTGGAATATGCTCTAATTGTTATAGTTTGTATCCTTCTTTCTAGGTTATATCTGGAAAGTTGTATGCTGGCCCTGAGGTAGATGTATGGAGCTGTGGTGTTATTTTGTATGCTCTTCTCTGTGGTACTCTTCCATTTGATGATGAAAATATCCCTAACCTTTTTAAGAAAATAAAGGTAACTTTATAATTGAAGTTTTGGATCTAATATACTATTTCAGTTGTTACTCTCTTTCTGATTGTAGTGCATTGATGAAATCTATGGGATAACCTTATCAAATGCTTACTGTTAAAATATTGTAGTGATGCCCAATCTTTATTTTTGCAAGCACCTGAAATATAATGAGCTCAATTTGAGTGATATTGTCTATGTGAAAAAGTTTCTATGCTATTTTTTTTTTTTATTGGAAATGCTTTCTTTCGCTTCATACAAATTCATTCTTTAGGGTGGGATATACACTCTTCCCAGTCATTTATCAGCTACTGCGAGGGATTTGATACCAAAGATGCTTATAGTTGACCCGATGAAGCGAGTGACTATTCCTGAGATTCGCATGCACCCTTGGTTTCAAGCTCACCTGCCACGCTATTTAGCTGTTCCTCCTCCAGATACAATGCAACAGGCAAAAAAGGTAAGTTGAAACTATGTCAGTCACTTTAAGTTATATTATAACTGTGGCACTGCTACTCCTTTCTTTGAAGTGTGTGTGTAAAATTTTGCTCATTATATTAATGGCTGAGATATGCAAGTTTTGTTAAATGTTAAATGGCATTGTGAGAAGTCTTCAAATTGTCCCACTCTGTCAATTAAATGAAATTCAGTGTTGCTGATATATCTTTGGTGACCTGACCTATCATTTATTATTGCTGGCTTTCTCTACGGGAAAGGGTGAAGAAACATTAGTACTAAGCACCAGTGATTTGTGTTGGACGTGTAAAAATGATGGATGTAAAAAAATGAGTCATGAGACTGGTGTAGGGGTTTAGTTTGTAAACAGTGGAGCAGATTTTTAGATACAAATAATAGCTAGGTAGACTAGCTGCTTCCATTTTTCTTCCATGATGCTTGGTATTTGTGTAATTGTTTCTCTTTGCCCTTGCTCTGGTTTCTGCATTATTCATGTTTCTCTTGTACTCCGTTGACTTTATAGCTTCAAGTTTCATCCTACTGCTTTGGATGTGTCTATGTAGAATTTGTCTTGGTGAAAGTTGACTGAATTATTTGATTGTAGATTGATGAAGAAATACTTCAAGAAGTGATTAAGATGGGATTCGAAAGAAACAATATCATTGAGTCTCTACGAAATAGAGTTCAAAATGAGGTAACTTTGATTTGTTGTATACCTATTTTTGCTTTTTCGTAGACTTCAAATTTTGACATGTTTTCTGCATGTGCTTCAGGGAACTGTTGCTTACTATCTGCTACTTGACAACCGCTTTCGTGCTTCCAGTGGCTATCTGGGTGCTGAATTTCAGGAGTCAGTGGTGCGTTGGTTTTGCTTATAATACATATTAGATGAATTTTGTTTGTTTGTTTCTTAGTTTTTGGAACTAGAGGAGTGGCTAAGTGGGGGTGGGTGGTGCAGTGGGCTCTCTATGATTGATGCTTCTGCTTCAGCTGTGCAATTGGATCTGGCCTTCTCTTGTCTGACTTTTTGATATGCTTAGTGGGCTTAATAACATTTGAGCCTGAGTCAACACTGTTAATATTATTTGGTTCGATGCCTTCCTGTGTTCTTTCTCACATCTAAATATTTAGATGTTGTATGTGCTTTTGCAGGAATATGGTTTCAACCAAATGAACTCAAATGATTTTGTGGCATTCCCTTCTGGGCAACGCTTCCCTGGGACTATGGATTATCAACCAGTTGGTGCAAGACAGTTTCTAGTTGAAAGGAAATGGGCTCTTGGGCTCCAGGTTAGTTGGTTGAATTCCTTGGCAACCTAACCTATTCACTTTATTGGAATGTTAAAGGAGTAGTTTTGTCATCATATCAAAAGCAAGGGTTGGATTTGAGTAGATTGCACCCTACATGTACAACCTTGCAGTCTAGATGGTTCTTCTCATTCCTATTTCAGTTGTATATGTTGTGATTGATAAAAAAATTAATTTTGATATTTATTATTAGAAAAATTATTGATTTTAAATTTTGATTCTTTTGGTAGTCCCGGGCTCATCCACGTGAAATAATGACTGAAGTTCTTAAAGCCCTACAAGAGCTAAATGTGTGTTGGAAAAAAATTGGGCATTACAACATGAAATGCAGGTGGATTCCCAGCATACCTGGTCAGCATGAAGGTTCAGTGAACAATTCATTGCACAATAATAATTTCTTTGAAGATGAATCTACTATCATAGAAAATCATGGCATTTCTAGAGCAGCGAATGTGGTCAAATTTGAAGTTCAGGTAATAAAATTTCTATTGTATCATGTGTGTTTGATTAATTTGTGTAGTTTCCATAACTGTTCAATGTAGTTGCTATTCCCTGTTGTGGGGAAGAGTTGGTGGGTGCAGGGTTATGAATATACTTCACTGGATATTGGTGCTGAAGTAATTAGACTCACTAGGACTGAGTATCTTTTATAAAGCTTAGAATAGTACAATTGAAACACAGATTATATGAGAGGTTCTGTTTCTGATATGATGCCAAGCCTGAGTTACTTAAATGGATGCAAGAATTACAAAAAAAGGGAATTTGAAATTTTAGAGAATACAACTCTGTAAACAATGTGCTTATGATCTTTAGAAGAGATTTCATTATATTTCAAGCCAATAGCTGCTATCAATTGAAGTGATTACATGGAAAGTGTCTTGCATTGATCACATTATCTCATTTAGTATATCCGTGAAAAAAAATTAAAAAATTAATGGTTCCAAGAATTGGTCCTGATTTGTTGAGTATTGTGAATACTTTTACAGCTCTACAAAACTCGTGACAATAAGTACCTATTGGACCTGCAAAAGGTTCAGGGGCCACAGCTCCTCTTCCTGGATCTTTGTGCTGCTTTCCTTGCTCAGCTTAGAGTGCTGTGAAGACAGGCTGAGAGTATAAACATGTGGTGGTGGAGGAGGATATCATTAATGCTGTACATAATTGCAATTAACAGCCTCCTTATTTTCTGTTTCCCCTTAACTTTTACATTCAGTCAGCATAACGGTGACGGTCTAAACGACTAAACCTGATTTTCTTTCTCTTTTATCTGAATTGTGCCACCCTGATATTCAGAGGTGAGTATGGTGCCAAGCCAATATTTTTGTCCGACTCACTAGGAGTTGTGGCTTTTGCCCAAATTGCTTTTCATTTCCAACTATGATAGTCTTTGGTGTTATCGGCAGTTTGCTTTGCTTGTCTAACTATGTAGAGACTAAAACTAAGGGCTTACATGGCAGCTGCACCCCGGAAAACCACCAAGACTATCCTTCTTTGCTGCTATTATATGGCCTAAAAACCAGTACATGACAAAGTGTAGTTATTGTTAATACTGGTTGATCTATTTTTATTCTCTTGCTACATGTGATGAATAGAAAGAGCATTTAGAATGATTGTTGTAATACAAGTTTAGTAGTCTTTAAGTTAACATGATCGTAGGTTGTCAAGGTCAAGGTTGTTTATTTAGTTACGACAAGTTAACATTTAAAACTGCTGTAGCATTCTTCTTTGCTGGCTTTTTATTTAGTTACGACAAGTTAACATTTATAACTGCTATAGCATTCTTCTCTGCTGGCTTTATGATGACTACCAGATTAGGGGTAAATATGTTCACTTTATTAACACAAACGCTGGTATGTACGCAATTATTCATTACAACTATCTACTCCTTGATCAGTTAATTATTAAAATGACGATATTTATTAATACCAAGGTTGTGAAATACGTTAGGCACTAATTGGGCGTCAAAAGGTGCGTTTAGGTGGAAGACACATTTTTTTATTTTTTATTTTTTAAAACAAGGTTGTGCGAGTGTATTGTGTATTTGTATATATATATATATACACACAGAAACACACACAAATAAAAGGTTATTACACATGACTTTAGAATTATATAAAAAAGTAAAAAAACAATAAATAAAATTTTAAAAAATGATAATAACTCGGCCGAGTCAGCTTACTAGGTGATGCCTAAGGGTAGAATTATATAAAAAAGTAAAAAAACAATAAATAAAATTAAAAAAAAAATGATAATAACTCGGCCGAGTCAGCTTACTAGGTGATGCCTAAGGGTGAAAATGGTGCGGCCGAATTTTACAACCATGATTACAATACTCATTTTTTACTCATTATAAACTTTCTAATAATGTTATACACTCTTATATTTTCTTTGGACATGTCATTGTTTAATTAGACAATTAAATTTATTTTTTAAATAATGGTGAAATTTTTCATCTCTTCCTTTTGGTATGAAAATTCATGAGTTAATATTTAATTTAGTTTTCGACTATATCAGTTTTTTTTTTCCCAAAAATTATAAATAACATTTTGTACTTAATTGAGTCATCTGTTAAAATAATTTGGTAATTTCACATCTATTAATACTTAATTTTATCTTCGATTATAGTAGTTTTACCCAAGTTAATCATTGACTGTAGTGATTTTTCTCGATTTAGTCTTTAATTCTAACAGCCTAGAAAAATCACTATATTCAAGACTAAATTAGATATTAACTCAAAAATTCATTCATTTCGGGCAGCTTTCTTTCTTTTCTAAATTTGTTGTTGTTTTATTATTATTATTATTATTATTATTATTATTATTATTATTATTATTTACTTAAATTAGAGCATACTCGATAGAATTTGTAATTGTTATGGAGAAATCGTCGACAACCCCAAGAAACTTGAAAGCGACCTGACCTTGACATATTCCATTTACAAAAGAAGAAAAATGATACTTACTCCCAAAAAATAAAAAATTCATGATCAAAGATACTCCGAAGAAGACAAGAAATTCCAACATAATTTCATTAGATTGAAGCATGGAGATCAAATTCAAATCAGGATTGCAGAAGCAAAAACAAATGCTACAGTCAAACACATGTGAGGAAGGTAACATACATGCGACTCCATTAATGGAGGACGAAACCCTTCTCTGCGTAAACACAATGGAAACTTAGTACCTATAGTTAAAAGCACCGAAGATAACTAAAAATGATAGGATTCGCAGTTTAAGTAACAAAGCATATTGGTGGAAGATCAATGGAGCTCCACATGGAGGATTCGTTGTCGAAAGCGGTTGAAGACGAAGAAGAAGAAGAAGGAGAAGAAGAAGCATTATCTCCTGTTTCTTCTTCCTTCTTCTCAACAACAATCTCTTCCTTTTCTTCATCCTTCTTCATCTCCTCCTTTTCTCTGCTCATTTTGCATGCGTTTCTGAGCCTGGAGAGTTGATCGGACCTTTCACGCCCGGATTTGAGCTTCAGCTTTAAGCATTCCGTGATGCCATTGAAGGCGTAGAGAGAAGCTGAGAATTTTCTCTCATAGTTCATCCTCTTCATCGTCTCGCTAATCATAGATAGCTCTTCCCCTTCCCCTTCCCCGTAGACTGCCTGCTGATGCTCCATTGATTCTGAAATCTCCTCCGCCATCTCAAATGGCGAAAAGTAGCACGATCCGATTTCATCGACGAACTGAAAGTCTACAACGCTAAGATCATCACTGTTTTCTTCTTCCTCGATCTCCTCCTCTTCCTCTGCTTCATCATGAACTTGAACTGCACAATTTTGACTCTCATAGTTACAGCCTTGTTCTGTGGCTCCACAACTGTTAACAGTCTCTGTTAAATTGCACGATTCGAGGCTGATTTCTGGGATAATCATGGAGCTTTCAGCAGTGCAATCATCAGGATCATTGAGATAATCAGTGAAGTGTGATTCAGAAAACTCAGCTGCCTCATCTCTGCACTCATCATCCTGCACTTGATTCACCTGCTGAAAACAGGCAGGAGCAGAAGAGGGAGCACCATTCCCAGCTAACGAATTGTTTCTCGCTTTCAGCCTGGTGAGAAGCAGGTTTGTGATCTTTGATGGCAGAGCTGGGGCTGAAGAAGATGATGAGGAGCAAGGCCAGAAATTGGTTCGCGTGTTGGCTCCTCGCAGCAAGCAGGCCGCCTCATCATAAGCCCTTGCAGCCTCCTCAGCTGTGTCAAAGGTCCCTAACCACACCCTTATCTTCTGAATGGTATCCTTAATCTCAGCCACCCATCTCCCTGATGGCCTTTGTCTCACCCCCACGAATCTCTTCCGTGCCCTCCTACCGCCCCCCAACGCTGCCTCCTCCCATGCTGCAACATTCCCTTCATCCAAACCTTCACTACCCTTTCTCTTCCTAGCCATTCTATCTGTAATGATCTTTCTCGCGGTTCTCGGGGATGATCTGAGAGTGTTTTCTAGCTTATGCTTACTGCTGAGCTGATATGCACACAACACATATTTATATCCAGAGAGGGGAGATCATGTCAAAGGGCATATCAGACTAATTATAGCTGACAAAAGAAAAGGTAACATACAATTTGTTCATTTTCAATCTTTTCATTGTTACATATGGAGGGCTCTTATGCATAATATAAAGATATTGTTTTCAGTGTGGTGTGTAAATATACTATTAGTATTGTTTTCTGGCCTACTCTTCCATTTTCATTATTTTAAGATTCTGTCTTCTCTGTCATGAAATGTTTCCTCTTTCTTATTTTCTTATACAACTTGTCTCTTATTACTGTTATATGTGCAATAATTAATTCAAGATCATGTCACCTATCACTAGTTTTTAAGTGATTTTTTCAATCTTGAAGGGGAAAAAACCTTGAAATCATCACAGCATGAAAATGACTTCTTCATCCGTCCATTTTCACTGCATCACTGTTTCAAGTGAAATTTGCAGCTGCAATTTTTACTGCTGTCACTAATACAATCTCACAGGGTGGGCAATATGGTTTGTGTTTCTGCATCTTGCATACAGCATTTGAGACTAATCCGGTTTCGGCCTCAGCCACTCCTGCAGATGACTCTTATTCGGGGAAAAAGCTTAACTGGGGACAGTTGGCTTGGTAATCACAAGTTTCAAGTTCGGTGAGAACTGTTTATTAGCCTTTTTTATTTGTGCCGGTCAGCAAAGACAGTATAGGTTGGTTTATCTCGTTGTTGTAGGCTAATGTCACAAGGCGGGTTACACCTAGAATGCACCTTCGGGTGCTGACTTCCCCGTAAATCAAAGGGAAAAGGCTAAACCCCATAACTCTTTAACATGGCACACCGCCACAAGTGTTGATTTTCCGACCTTGCAATTATATTATCTGTCAACCTTAGCATGGTGGCACTTCCTTTCACTAGATAAAACTGTATAAAAGCTGTTTCCAGTTTTCACCTCTGTGGGGGGAGTAAAACTGTTTGGATGTCACTCTCACCTTGTGCACAGAAAGGTCAATTGCAGAGCATTGTATTATTAACCATAGTAAAAGAGAAAAAAACAAGAGATTAAAATGCATATGTTTCCATTTGTCAGTGATTGATGGAGGACAAGGAAAACGATTTCTTCAAAGCGGCGCAACAGTGAGCATAGATTGCCCTCTACTCTCTGCTTGACAGCAACAACTACTATTAACAATTTCTGCCATTCTTCCATCTCTGAAATTTCCAATGGATGCATACATCTGTGACTGTTCAGCCTCAGCATATCACACAAAACAAGTCACCTGTTTTGAGCAACTCCAACCAAGTTAGTAGAGCGGTTGCCTTGGTAACCGCAAGGTTTCAGGTTCAATTCACAGTGAGAGTGACCTACTGACCTTCTTGGTTTAAGCATTTAAGCTGGTCCACAACCTTGATTGGTTTACCTTATGGTCCTTCGCTGGCTAGGGTAATAAAGCGGGCTTACCCTGTGCAGCCTACAGGTATCTCTTGTCACCAAAAAAAAAAAAAAAATACTACTTACTAGGTTCTTGGATGTGTTGTTACAAATCCAAGCTCTAACTCCGTCACAAAAGTTAAGTTTGACTCGGTATCTTAAATATCGATCCAAATTTTCGTTAGTAACTTATGTGGGACGATATTTGCCGTTTTAAGGAAGGGTTTTCAAGGAATATGCTAGGTTAACTCAGATCATGCCTTCATGATATTCACGTACGAGGAAATGCATACACAGAAAGGGAAACCACACAAAATAAAGTGTAGGACGCCAACCACAACAAGAAGTACCTGTCTTCAATTCCATGTTTTATCTGCTGGTGTTATTCATTTGATTCTCTTGTAACGCAGCCGTAAGCACAACTCTTAATGCTGCTGTCTGATTAGTTCAAAGAATAGAAAATGTCAATGCCCACTCTTCTTTCTCCACCTGGACGCTCAGCAATGATCCATTAGTCTCATTCACCGTGGCGTATTTCAGCCGCATATACCAAAAGATTCCAAATTTCCCATTTTCAAATCATACCCTAAGTCATACTCAGGGTAATATATGTGGGTAATAACAAGCAGACTGAAAAAGTCTTGATTGAGCTCCATTCATGTGTTTAAAGCAATGCCCTTCAGAGACTTGTTTTGAATGGAGTTGATGAAAGGTTAGTTGAATTCGTCTCATCTTGCGAGATGTGAATATCAATGCAATATGTAAAAGGAAAAAAATCTAAAAATCTTCGCTCGAATTCACGTATAATAGCAAGGCCCTAAGAAGAGTTGCATTTCGTAGGATGCAGACACCTATGTAGTTTGGAAAAGAAAACCCAACCCATATACAACAATGCCCCCCTCTTTCCTCATCAACCCAAAAAAAGAAAAAGAAACACTCTTGGGTCACAAATAAGGTTGTTACATAAGATAGTGACTCAAGGATCATATTAGATTTTGGTGACAAAGCACCATGTCAACAAGAAGAGAATCTTGGTGGGATAACCCGGCCAAGATGGCAAGAGATCTATATTTATAACAACAAGTTCATGAGTTCGAATCCTTGCCTTCTTAGTTTGAACCGGTCAACTATGAATAACCTTGATTTACTTATTTGTTGTCCTTTACCGGCTAAGGCCACAAGATAAAGTTTATCTACACCCGAAAGGGTTGCAAAAAAGGAAAGAGGCGGATTCGAACCCTCGATAGTTTGTGAAGTTTCCCTTGTCATCTTAAAAAAAAATGTTGGTATATTTAAAATGCATGTTGGGAAGATGAGAAGCATAAAATTTCAAGCAAAAAATGTCAAACTTCTGGCACTACAGATGTGACTCAATTGCTTTATTAGCTTAAGCATATGACATAGCCAAATGGAAATCATCAAACAATAAGATGCATATTTTAAGACAGATTACAGGCACTATGATGACCATTTGGTAGGTTAAGACTCAGCAAGTAAAATGGACATTCAACTGTACAGTGATGAATCATTGCTTGCAGTTGTGATGAACATTTCCAGTTGGGAGGGAGAAAATGGAACTGAAAATGAAAGCATGACTGGTATACATACAAAGAAAAAAAAAACCTGTAAATTACATAAGACAGTGTACAATAAAAGCTTAATGTCAATAGAAAGTAAATGAAATACGCATGGAATATCAAATATTTTACAATGGTGTAGGGCAGAGAAAACACACAAAAAACACTTTTTCTCCTCCACAGCTTCGGTATCTCTCTAGCAGAGTACCTTACAAGTTACAAGTGACCACAGCTTCCAAGTGACCACAGCTTCCATGCAACGATTTGTAGTTTTAACCATTTACCTTTCGACTGTCGGCCTATAGCGTATGGAGAAGTGGAGTTGTATGTGTGTTATTGTTTCCAGTATAACTGGCTGGCATTAGAGATGGATCTTCATAGGCAGTCGCAAGTTCATTGTGAAAAGCGGATACTGTAGGATCTTTTTCATCACTTCTGTCCTTCATTATTAAACTCTGTATCATAAGAAACAATCCATGGCAGGACAGGAAACAGTTAGCTAAACATTCGAGGAAGAAAAGAAAATAGTTAAGGCAGCCAAGTCGGAATTCATTGAGAAGCTTGTAATCGATCTGAACAAAAACGCATTTAGCTTTAAGACTTCCATAAGCTTTTTCAGCCATGGCTACCATTTATTCAATAATAAATAATTAAATATAAAATGCAATGCAATCTAACGTGAAGTATGTTGCTTTTATCATCACTAAAACACAATTTTGCTAGTCAAGAAGTCAAGATCAAGATTTGTTAATTCAGTTTCTTACCTGTTGACCACTTGAAAACAAGTACAGCAATTATATCGTGGACTGCGGTGCATGTGCACCGCGGTAAAAAACGGTGCCGTTTCTTTAAGTAAAGAAACAGCACGCCGTTACAGTTAACGGAGCGCGCATGTTTCGTGTATTAATTACCAACTGAGACTATAGTGTATCTAAACTGATGGCTGACGCCTCACGTATTATTTTTATATTATCAAGTGAAAAAATGAATTGTATTGAAATGAAACTGCAGTGTATACAAAATGAAACTGAATAACAATTTCACATATTTGAGTGTATATTACCCAGTGAAACTGTAGTTATATCAAAATGATATTGTCGTAGAGTTGAAATGAAACTGCAGTGTATATAAAATGAAACTGAATAAGATTTCACATATTTGATTGTATATTGTGCAATGAAGCTGTAGTTATATCGAAATGATCATGTAGTTGTGTTTTAATGAAACTATAGTGTATATAAAATAAAATTAAATAACATTTTCACATATTTGAGTGTATAAATATCTTTATCTTTTTGCGGAACGCGAAACGAACAAGTACAAGTAGGCTTAGGCCAATGACACTTAAATGGGCTATAATGCACATGGGCCAATGCACACTAAAGATTAAATCCAATCAATTAGCAAGTGTAACCCATGACCTTATAAACCAATCGTTATACCCTGCACCTCCCAAAATGACGTCGTTTTGAGAGGCGCGGAAGGGAGTTGATGTGATTATGTGTATTTGTTTATATCATTATGTGTATTTATTTATACAATTATGTGTATTTTTTTATACAGTTATGTGTGTTTGTTTATACAATTATGTGTATTTGTTTATACAATTATGTAAAACGACGTCGTTTTGCATCAGGGCGCACAATGCAATGCGCGCCCTGATGCACGATATAAATTGCCCTTATAAACACATGTGCACTTTCTTATATCTTCAATGTGGGACTCTTAACATACAGAATATAGCAGTTGGAGTGTGTAATCATGATTTAGGGGTGAGGGAAAGGATATAAAACATGGGGACTGTTTACTAATACGTGTACTGTGATGCAGTTCTAAACAATATTATAACCTTAGCAAATAAGCAAATTACTTTATAACCTTAGTAAATAAGCAAATTACTTTCATGATAGACATACCTCAGCGGAAAAAGACGAGAATATCGGTAAGAATCTTCTCCGGCAGTAGCTATTAAAAATAAGAGTGAGGATTGGAAGAGGGATGGTTAAGCTGGAAGCTAATGAAAGCTTCTTTAACCCAAATATTCCAATGGCAATAACATGCATCAGAATCAATGAAACTATTGTTGAATCATGCACTATAGGCCAAAATTGTCCACCTGTCTCGTATTTGGGTGCGTATACATTTAGTAGCTGCAAAAAATAATAATAATAATAATAATAAAAAGAATAAATCCAATATAAAGTTACATAAATAGAAAAATATTTGAGCAATTTAGGAGTCTAGGAGCAGTATGTAATCTACCAACCTGGTGGCGATAAATGACGTATCCCAAACAGAAGTAAAGAACAATAAATGGCAAGATTAGGGGCGCTAAGAAGAAGTATATTACACCAACAAGACCAAATAAAAGAAGTCGTGGAATTTCTCTGTGGTATGGCATTGATGGAACCTCAAAATCTTCATTAGATGCTTTGCAAAACCTCTTCTTAAAAAAACTTGAAAGAAAAGGTTTTAGCCGAAAAACTTCAGAGGCTGTGCTGGTCCATCCAGATGTCACAACATAGGCAATGAAGAAAGATGCCTGCCAAAACAAAAGGAAAGAGGGAAAGAAATATTGATATTTAGCAAAATACCAAAAGTGCAATCTCGTTCCTATTTCTAAGATTTCTTTTATCATCCTTCTTACTTCTGTGTTTCTCAAGGTTGAGTTTGTTCTTTGTAACAAGTTATTTGACAGTCAAAAATTCTCAGAGAAGATTTTAAATTTTTATTAAACAATTCAAGTCAATGACCAGCACTGTTGTAAAAATCGGCTTAGGCGCCCCTACGCTAGGTACCCCCAAGTGCCCGACTAGCACCTAGAGCCTTCTACAACATTGATGACCAGTATGCACTTACCTGACTCGGAACTCCTACGGCTAATATGCTAGGGATGTTCTTCAGCTCAAGAAATATTTTAACACGGTAAAGAACCGACCCAGATAAAACATTTGCAAAGAAAATGTTCCAAATTGTAAACCACAGAACTTTGAAGCACGCACTTCTTCCAATCTGACTCAGTGCAATATAACCTTGTATGGATGAGAAAATCATCATAATGGGTGGCACTAGTGAGAGAAACATCTGAAGAATGAGACTAGGCAGATATCCTGTAATCACTTGACTAACAAATTTTCTGCATGAAAGTCAAAGAAAAGATTACATTTAGAGATGCATGTATTATTGCAGCAAAATGGCTAAGCTATTCAACGCGAGAGCACCACAAAATAAACATGGTAAAGATAAACAGGAACTAGGCCTGTTTGATTCGCGGAAATATTTGAAGAATGGAATTGAAATTCCATAGAAAGAAATTATCAGGAAGATTAATTACATGGTTTGGTCGGTGGAAAAGAAATTACTGGGAATATTGATTCCATTGTTTGGTTGGGTTTGGAAATATAAAGAATAATGAGTATCAAGACCAATATACCCCTACATAATAATAATAATAATAATAATAATAATAATAATAATAATAATAATAATAATAATAATAATAATAATAACAACAATAATAATGATAATAATAACAATAATAATAATAATAATAATAATAATAATAATAATGGTAATTAAAGTTCTAGAGGGCAAAATTTGTCCTACTAATTTTCCATGAAAAATAAAATACCAAGGGGGAGGAGTTGAAAACTTTTTCCTCATTCTCGAGGAAAACATTTTCCCATGAAAAAAAGTTTTCCATGAACCAAACATAGGAAAATCTAATTTTCCTCAAATTTAAGGAAGGAAAAAGTTCTCCATCCAACTAAACACCCAAGGGTTAGAATTTAGAAATATACATGTCACATGGATACATTTGAGAATTGAGATTGCAATGAAACTTAAACCGGTGAGTTGCATGAAACTAAGACAATAGAACTGAATACTTACACTTCCAATACACTTTTTAGAGAGGGAAACCAAATCTCCAGCTGTTCCAGATGGGTAAGACCTTGCACTAGGAGAACAGGTCCAAGGAACAGAACTGTGAGAACAACACATGCAATATAAACAGCAACATTGAACAACCATCTTTGAGCAAATGATGCTGAAAAAAAGGGCCAATATACATCCTCTGGATCTGGAGCTGGCTCAGTAACCCATTCTGTGGGCTTTATGCCTTGCCGAATGTGCAAAGCTACTGCTGCCCCAAACCGTGTTTTGAAAGATACAAAGGCCGCTGCCACTTCCTAACATTAAAGAAGGTTTAGTCAATAACAAACAATTAGATGTTCTCATAAAGCCTGAAGTTAAAAAATGAAGGGATAACTGTATATGTTTGTCGACAACAAATCAAATCCATACAAACGAGCATAGTATAACTCAGTACACTACACTGAATGCCAAATATTAGATATTTCAAAAACAAGTTATATGGCTAATAGAACAATCATAGAGGTTTCAAAATTACCTTTACCACCACTGAAGATTGTTCCGCTCTATCACTCTGCAATGCATATTGCACAGAACTTAGATGCATTGAAAGAAACGGGAAATATAGTTAGCATCTAAAATGCAAGTATATAGTTGCTATAAATCCCTAATTATCAAGGCAAAGAATGAATTAAAGTCTATCATTCTGCAGTTCATTCCTTAATTAATATAGTGCAATAACATTTTTGCATCATTAGCATTAAAGTCTTACAATGAACGTATCAAATAAACATATCATTCAAAGTTACATAAAAAGAATAAAATCATAGACAATATTATGGAGTGGTTCATATCCATTGAATGATGGTTAAATATGCCACATTAAAATCTTACAATGAGGCCTTTGAGTTTGTTTTTTCTGCGGACAACACAGTGGGAGAGATATGTAGAAGGATAATACTCCGTGAAAAAGCTCTCAACAACATCACTGTAGCTTTTCCCTGGGGATGGTGGAATGCTTCTAACTAAAACCGTAAATTGATGTGGCTTAGGTTTTGATGAATGGAAAGAAGCAAGCCTTTTTGATGAAATATAGTCATATTCCTGCAAATTATATAGCATCTCAGATTCTCAGCAACAAGTTGAGTTTCACATCATTCAGCAACAAGTAACCATAAAATAAGTAAAGATGGGTGAAATACTCACAGCATAAAGAAGATAGCAAACAAACACCGTGAACACATACATAGCAGAGAAGTGAATCCATAACCTTAGAAAGACCAAAAGAGACAACTTTTAGTTTTACAGTCAAATGATTGCTACCTAGAACTAAATTTCACTCTATGAGTAATTTTGGGAACTCATTGAATACTGGTGAGTTGCCCATGTACAGAAAGATTTACACATTAAATTTGGCATTTATGCTTTTGTCATCTAAACATGTTTCACTCCATTGGAATTCCATTGCTACTGTTATGTAATCACCTGTTTGACCCATCACCAACATTTGAAATAGTAAATGATTCCAGGGATTTGTTTGGTAGGTCAGTAAAATCAAGACTAAGCTGATTCCCCATGTAATTGATGGGAAGGAGAACGAAGACCCCAACTGCCGTAGCAAATGCAAACACTTTAAAGCTGAAAGATTTATCGAGATAAAACAAAAACCAAATTAGCAGTTAGCAGAAGATGATCACCAAAATATGCCAATACACACTTTAATACCTGAATATAAAAATTCGCATGAAAACTACAGCGTCCAAACCGGAAACCGACAAGAGCTCAGCTTCTGAGGGTCGCCAGGCCCCTGTAATCCAACCAGCAGACGGCAGTAATCTATCCAAGTCAAAATGAACTCTCCGCTGAGATTTCCCATCGGCAAGTAAGCGCGGAGCATAAACGTCGGCATTGCCCGGCTGCTTCCTCAGTACAGAATACAAAATGAAGAACAAGACGCAAAGGCCGAGGTTGATTCCAACTGAAGTAAGAAGCGCAGAGAAAAGCATCATTCGCAATCCTTGAGCACAGCAGCTGCTAAGTCGAATTCAAAAGTCAAAACAACTACAAGCAACCATGAACCCTAGACGGTAAACAAATTCGTGATTGCTGAGCAGAAGCATCAATATCAATACACAGCTTCCTTTCTTACTTTCTTCTCTTTTCTAAAGAGGAATCAAAATAAGCTATGGAAGAAAGCGGGGGCGGGGCTCAGTTCACTTTGAGATTTGAGAGTTGCGATACTCGCGGCACGCTAACTGGAAATTTCGCTACACGCCTTTCAGTCAACCTGTCGTCATATTACTGTACGTGTCATATTTTTTATCACACGTGTCATATTCAATACAAAATGTTAAGACTTTTATTATTATTATTATTATTATTATGGAAATTCTGGATTATTATTTGAGAAAAATTTGTTCTATAACTCGAATTGATAGAAGAAGTAAACTAACTAAAATTGTCAATAGCTTATCAAACAGATAAGTCAACTAGAGTTGAGCTTAAAATCATTTTGTAATTACTAAATAATTAATCTGATTAACTGAGTGGAGTTATTAATAGTTGACCAGTTAATAACTAAATAAAATTACAAAATGATCCAAAGAGTTAATACCGTCCCTACCAAGATTCGAAATGTTACTAGACTACATATCATTAGCATAGAAGTTAAAACTTAAAATTTTGTAGTCACAAAGGTAATATTTTAACCAACTTGGTTGGGTCATTAAATTATTCTTTTTTTTTTTTTTTTGTTTTTTAATGAAAGTCACTTGTACTATTTATATGAAATTACAAGTATACACCCACTATTTGCGAGACCCCAAGTATTATTCTCTTTAAATACATTGAGATGGGTATAACATCACACATCAAATAAAATGACGTGATAACTGTATATCTAAGAAAAAACATTCGTCATGACTATGAACAATGTTGAAAACATATATGAACAATATTCATTACAGTGTAATTAAGGTCCGACATCCGAAATGAAATCTACTCAAATTGTACACATATTGAGAGTCTCTGATCTGCATCCTAAAAGTCTTCAGAACTTTTGAGTTCTCAACCTCGATCTTGTCTGATTCAATTCCTACGGGGATTCAATATGTAGTTGTGTCGACTAAACTCTATCATCTGCTTTAAAGTTTAAACAACACCTCACCTCAGACTAAACTCGATCTTGAGGTTTCCCTCTTGAACTCACTATAATCTGCAAGCAAGCTACCATTTACTTTGGTCTTCATGTTCTCCACTAGTCTTTTTAGAACCTACGCAGAATTAATATAATTATTTACAAAAATGTGGGTCAGAAAGATTTTAATTTGCAGGTATAGGAATTCTTTTGGGTAATACAGATAGGAAAAAACACAAATTTTAAAGGTGGTGATCGAGAATCTAACCGACTCTGCGACATCTTGACGAACATGTTCAGGGACCAGAGCAAGCACAGGAGGAAGAACAAAGCTTATACTCAACTGCAGCTGGCCCTTAAGCCTGCTTCTCAGTCCACGTCTGTCGGGGTATAGGGCGCCTTTAACGCCAAGTGAGAACTGAGATGGCTTCAGCATGTCATCCAGCCCCTGAAGCTCCCATCTGATCTGCACAATAATATGGAATGAGTAGTTTGTTTAATTTTCTGCATCAAGTTTAGAGGAAACGGGGATTCAATGACTGAAACTATGATGAGGTTTACCAAGATACTTACAATGTCAAGCTCAAGGACCTTAGAAGCATCAGTAGGAACCCCAGGCGGGTATCCTATCCCTTGGGATTTACATTGCAATCTCATGTCAATTACTGGCAGCACGGTTAGGAATAGGAACTCTATGGGTAGCATGTGGATTCTCCATTCTTCCTGGATACAACTAATATTCAGCCATCACAATTCATGAGTATACACTACATTAAGCACAAATATGCACTTCTCATGATGAACTGCATGCTGTTAGCATCAGTAGGTATCCTATTCCTTGGGATTTACATCTCAATCTCATGTCAATTATTGGCAGACAGTTAGGAATAGGAACTGTATGGGTAGGGTAGCATGTGGTTTCTCCATTCCTCCTGAATGCAACTAATACTCAGCCATCACAATACCGAGCATACTACATTAAGCACTTATGCACTTCTCATGATGAAGTGCATGCTGTTTTTTATCAAAGTTTTACTTTCTACTATACCTCTTCTTGTTCCTCCTTTACCCTGTATAATTATTCCACATACACATAAACATCATCTAGACCAATACAGAATTGTAATTATTTTACAAAACCCAAAAACAAGATGCAGATTAATCGTAATTGCCCGCAAACCACAAAACCATACAGCAGAGGATGCTACTAAGTAGTAAGAATCCAATCCGGGACCCTTCTAGTAGGAAAATCATGTTCCGCCCATTTCGGGCTCCTCCTCCCTTTGATGATTTAACTCCACAAGTCAGTGTCTATGTAAGTACATGAGGATTGGTTCACAGAAATCAGAGAGAAATTATTCCAATGAGTGTTGACAGATTGTGCTTATTAGTATGTCCCCTGCCTTAGAAAGACAAGGCAGATTTACAACCACCACCCATATATGCCCTAATTCTTATCCTTAGTTTGTTTCTACTACACCTAGCGTTTTATATACAATTGCAGTATCGTTACAACAAGGGAGATAAGGACTCTCCAAAAATGCATTGTAATCAACAAAACTTGACAATATGTAGAAATGCAGGCATAGATAAGGGGACGTTGACTCTACCTCATTGAGTTGTTGACTCCTCCTTTTGTCTGGAAATATAGCCTTGAAAACTCGGGGCTTATCCTCCAGATATCGATCAAACGAAGCCTGCAGTTTCAAATGTTCCATTTCAATTTCAATTTCACACCACCACTACCGACATAGAAATCATAGAACGATGCGCTAGCAATTCAATGTAAGGCATTGTACCAAAACCAAACATCATAGTTATATATAGATGTGATTACCCCGGGGACTTCATAGAGAGGAATGTCGGTGCTGATTCTGGAAGAGTAAGTCGAAGCATTCACCATCTGCGTCCTCATCTTCACCAATTTCGGTTTCTGTTTCCCCCGTAAAGCATTAAAATGCCACTTCGTATTCAGCTCCCGCTTCCGGCACCATTCCGTTAAGAATCTGCTCCGGCACGACGAAGCAGCAGCCGCAACCTCCATCGTTGCTCTCCTTTTCCCCCAACTCAAAATTCAAAAATCACTCCAACTACGGAACTGAGAATGCAGGAGAGAAGATGGTATAGAGATGAGCTACAGAGGCGTACGTGAGGAAGATGATGGAAGACAAACCATATCTGTTAATAGCGCTTCCCAATCTGACGTGGCACCATTTAATGGCACATTGAAGCATCCATTTTGAGCCAAATCGTGGAAATCGGTCCCACGCGTTGCTGACTCCTCAGCTTTACTTACCACCTCAACTCCAACTAAATTAATAGGATGGTAATTTACAACGGTATTTAGGATGTGTTTGGTTCGCACATGAAAATCAAAATCAGGGATGGGTATCAAATACTTGGTAATAGTAATGGGTTTTAGTGAAAGTATTTTGCATGTTTGGAAGTAATGATTAGGCTAAGGATGAATAATGAGATAAAACTCTTGTAAATTAAGGCAATGAGTTTTTCTATTAATGGGATATTCCAAACCCATAGTAAAACCAATCAACCAAACAATAACAATTACTTTCATACTCATACCTGAGTGCTAAACCTGCCAACCAAACACACCCTTAGTAATGATGAAGGTATGCATGATTTCATCATCTAGTAAATAGCAAGATTGTATTCAAAGGTACAATATTTAGTAATTACATATGCTGCTAAAAGTTGTATGAGCCAATTACTATATATGTAGTGTGATGATACAAGTATAGAGCAGATACTATCTTGTAAATAATCATGAGTGTTAGAAAAAAAAAAAAAAATGGGCATAAACTACACTAGCAGAAGAATAGCAAGATTGTATGAGAAGTAAGTGATTAATAATTTATAGCAAAATATCATATGATGCAACAAATTAAAAGAAATTCTGGAATCAGACGAGCTTCTTTCGCTCGAAGAATTTCTTGAGATGCCATAATTGCAGACAGGCCACGGACAAGCAAACTAGGAGAGACAGAAAGCTGAAGGTTGCCATCTTTGTGTTCGTTGCTCTGTTCAGTTTCTGCATTTCTTCCCCCCTAAATGGAAGAAATAATTGAACACATTACAAATTGATGCAGGGCGGAATGATGGAAGGTATGCATGATTTCATCATCTTCTTCGATCTTACCGTTCGCGGAGGTAGAACATCTCATCGTGGATATTTAGCACAGTGTCGAACATTTTTCTGAGCTCGAATTCCACTACCTGTACGTAAAATTGAGTCACCGGATTGATCGATCGGGATTGATATATAGACAATGCGTGTATAGTGAATGATTGATTACTTGAATCTGGCGTCTCTTGGCGATTTTGGACCAATCAATCGTGGCGTAGCCAGACTTCCATTCAAACTCAACGGAAACAGTGTAAGGAGGTTTGTGATCAGCTGCTCGGAAACAAATCGTGTAGTCGCCTTCTTCCGACGCTGTAAATGCGAAATTGCCGTGATCTGTATCAACCGAATAGTGATAGTACTGCCCAAATGGAGACGTCACCTGTAATGGCGTAGTCAGTAATTTCGATCTCGATCTCGATCGAGGATAAAACAAATGTAAAATGTAGTAATATTGGCCGGAGATATGAACGGAGGGAAGAGGCAAACCCGGACGGTGATTTTGTGGGTGTCCGGCACGTCGTGGTCGATAAAAGGGTTGACGACGGCGTACTTGCCGATGGTCATGGTGTTGAGTTGCATCTCCTCCTTGATGCATTTCGTTGATCCGGATTTCACGTCGATTCGCAGCGCCTCCACCACTGACGCTTCTATGTGTATCAGCAGCGCAACCGTCGTCATCAACATCTCCGTCTTCGTTCTCCCCATTATTGTGTCCTTTCCACGCACACCAACTGTTTGATGATCAGATCACTCGATCTGGATCGGAGCTGTAAGTATCATCACCCTACGTACCTCAGATGTCTCGATCTTCTTTCGGAACTTATGAGCATTCCTATTTCTTTGCTAGTTCGTTATAGCCAACTTGCATTGTATATACATACATTGTCATGGCTGCATGGGAAAATTATATTTTATTACCCAACAAATTAAAATATTTTTTAAAGTTAAATTAATTTCAATTTTGATTTCTTAGTTCAAAATCAATAAAGTTTAGTTTGAGATAGTTGAAATTAGAATGCCTCTTTTAGTTTTTCATTAGGATGACGGCCACATGACACATTACCAATAGACATTGCATTATTGACTAATTTAAAATTATGAGTTCGATTACGGGCAACCCTTTATCGGTCAACAATTCAAAATTTAATTGATCCTCAATTCTATTTCACCAACCAAATAAGTTGAGAGTCTTCTTCCTGCCACATGGCATATGCCAATTCTTCATTCTTTCATTGTCATCAGTCAAAGTCAAATAATACGTGTCAAGTTCTGTTTTTTTTTGTTGTCACCCAAGTAAAGGTGACCATGGTTCGATTCTGAACCAGCACTTCACGGTTCCACCAAACCGGAACCTTATTAAGGTTCCAGTTAGAATCGCCGGTTCTAACTGTTATTTATTTATTTATTTATTTATTATTTGTATGTTTTGTTGTGCACAATTATACTCCCAACAAAATAAACAAACAAAGTAGATGTCCAAAATAAAGTTTGAACCTTAGAAAACAAGAGCCTTACAACCTAAACTATAGACACAATTGTGTTAATACTTACATGTAGAACTATTAAACTTAATGTTCAATACAATTAGTTTACTCGTTTCAAAGAAAAGAGATAAGTCATGAAGGTGAGAATCGAACACGTGTCCTCAAGTAATATTGGATGCTAAACTATAGACACAATTGTGTTAATACTTACATGTAGAACTATTAAACTTAATGTTCAATACAATTAGTTTACTCGTTTCAAAGAAAAGAGATAAGTCATGAAGGTGAGAATCGAACACGTGTCCTCAAGTAATATTGGATGCTATGTAAAAGTGACAAGCCAATTTTTCTAACTTGCTTAGCTATACTTATGTTGTAAAAATATTATTTACAATCTATTTCTAACTCTATAAATAGTTAAATAGTTAAATACACATCCTTCAGGCTTTAGTTCCCTACAATCATTATTATATTATTTATTTATTTATTTATTTATAACAAATTTATAATTCCTTTTTGAAAGATTCAAGCTTCAGTTCTTCAAAAAGAATTGAAGTTTGAATCTCTTGAGCCTGGCCACTTGACTTTTTTTTTTTTTTTTCATGATTTGGGTGGCGATTCCGGTTCTAGAATTTTTTGAACCTTAACCGGAACCATATTGGTCCCGGTTAGGAACTGAAATCGGAACCGTATAGACGGTTCCAGTTCACTTCCGATTACTACAGTAACGGTTACGATTCAAACTGAAAGTTCGAATCAAGTCGTGGTCACCCCTACACTCAAGTGGCAAGTGCTAGGTCATCTTCTCTTGTCCATAGCCAAGTGATGACAAGTGCCAAGTCATAAGTTATGACCAGGAACCTCAAACTCTTAGCGAACAATACCTATATGATATATAATACTTAGATTGTAACTCCCTAGTTCTCATTTTCTTAGCATTATTTGGCCATTAAACATTGATAAATAACAATAATTTGTATTAGACTCAAAACATATACAATCTCAAAAAAGAAAAGAAAAAAAGAACACATTGGGGGTGTTTGGTATATAGATGTTAGCTGATAGTTGATAGCTGATTGAGTTAGTGAATTTGACTAGTTGATAGCATTAGCTGATTGTAGAAAGTGTTTGATAAATTAGTTGTTAGTCGATAACTGATTACATGCAAAATGACTTTCTCAAAAAGTTAATAAAAATGACTATTTTGAACAGCTTTTTAAATTTTAACATTTTGGAGCAATAAGTTGTTACCAAAAAAAAAAAAAAAAACAAATTTATCAAACATTCATATTGATTTTTTAACCAAGTCAAACAGCTAATAGTGACCAAATAAATGGAAATTAACTGATAAACTAACTAGGTTACCATACAGGACCATTATCATTATTTAAAAATTTATCAAATGCATACTTATTTAAAAGTGTTTTTATAGCTTTTCTTCTAGATATTCAATCCTCAAAAACCAACCTTAGAAGTTAGAACACAATCAATAAGTTTTATGTTAAATCACCACCCTAAGAATTTGAGTGTATTATAAGTCGTTAAAATTACCCGGTCGGAGCTTGAATAATATGCATGACTTTATCTCCTAAAGTGTGTTGGAAACGTGAGCAATGACCAAAGAAAATATGAACAATTGAATATTGGAAAATTAAGCTTCACAACATACATGTAATTCAACTATAAAGACTTTACTTTCCTCCAATTGAAATTGTAAAAATAGAATAATCAAAATGTTGATCGAAACTAATAAGCAGTTCATCATTCTTGTGTGGTTTATGAATTATCTCACTTTGGGTCGAGCTTGATGGGAATATATCCCCGGACACATACCTGAAACGTATCGTATACTTACTCGGTATACGGACGATCACCAAAGATATTATTCCCAATCACCTACCGACCTAGGACAACCCGACCTGACATACTGTAAAGTGTCGACCAGGGCTTGATTAGCGGCCTTTCTTCCCGGGTCTCGGAGCTTTCCTGATCTTCTTAGGTTGGGACGAGGCGAGGAACCCGACCTCCCTCACTGAGAATAGGACAACAATCCCTTTAGCCAAACTCGGCGGCGACAAAAACAAGGGAGTCAGGAACCTTTGTGCACCTGGGGGAATCAGCGAGGCTTCCGGTCTGTCTCTTTGCATGAGTAGCACGTGTCACACATGTTGAGCTTCCGACATGTGTTCCCCTAACTCTCCCATAAATAGCACATTAAATGCAGGGAGGAGGGATTCTTTGGTTCACTTCACGTAGTTATATTATTTTATGCTCGGGACCTTCTGACCCTCTGTCACATCATCCAGAGTTCATTTCTCGAGTACCTAATCACCGGCCTAGTATAGAATAAAAAGGCTATTGTATTACTACCGTACTATCCGATTTAATATACACATACTCAATAGTATTTACATTATCACATATATACCAAAGAAAAAAGTTTTGGGGTGTAGGGTAGGGGTGAGGGTGGGGAGCCTTCCCACCCAACTAGTACTTTTACCATGAATGATTATTTACTGCAGGCGTTCAAATTAAAAACAAACAAAAGTAAAAAATAAAAATGGATACCCAAATAATTAGGGTATAGATATATGGTCCGTTTACCAACAAAAAACTGTTCTCTGTTTTCTGTTTTCTAATTTTTCAGTTTTTATTCTCTATTTTCCATTCTCTGCTTTCTATTTAAAAAACTTGTTTACTAACTGAAAATTGTTCTCTGTTTTCTGTTTTCTAATTTTTCAGTTTTCACCTAAAATTTAGTTTAACTAATATTAATATTTTTGAGCTAATATTTAAAATATTTTTTTTGGATATATTCATTTGAATGACATGTATATTAATATATAACTTTTACTTTGAATTCTAATATATGTGAGATTTCAATGTCCGATATCTGGACCGAACTTATATTATGATGTAACGTAATTAAAAATATTTGAACTAATAATCTATTGAGTTCAATCCAAATCTAAAACATTATATAGAGTTTAATTCTTAATTTTGATAATGTAAATAATATATAACTTTAAAGTGTAAGCAAATAAATTATGTTTAAATAAGTAAAGTAAGTAGAAAAGATAGAAGATAGTGATAAGTAAAATAAGATGATAATGGTTATAGTGACATATAACTAAATAAATGATAGATGATTCTGTTTTCCATTTCGAAAACAGTTTTTAAGTGTGTTTAATTTCAGTTTTTCAGAAATTTTCAGAAATTATTTTCAATTTTCAAAATGAAAAACTGTGTTAGTAAACATGTTTTTTGTTTTTTATTTTTCAGATTTTGAAAATTTCCAATTAGTAAACCACCCCTAAAGGTTGCCTTGGTTAGGTCACGTCCAAACTCCAAAGACAAAAATGTTAGGTTGGTAAGGGGATGGTACCCCCTGCGGCCTGCACCGCTGCGCTGCACGAAGGCACTCAGGGTTGGTTGGTAATTCCTTCACGCATTTTACATCATCTTTATGGCGTTTTTATTGCATTCCAACCCTCTTCTTCTCTTCCTTCCATCTCATCCTCTCCCTTATCCATTACACCATATATTGCCTTTTTGCCCCTCACCCAATTCTTACCAAATATATCCAACCCCTTATATCATATAATAGCCCCTAGATATATGTTATGGTGATGATACAGCCAAATGAACTGCACACTAATAATAGAAACACATATTGAGAAATGTTTGATTCAGAACCACGTATTAGATGTAAGGGAGAATAATTACGATATGCAGCGAGTCAGATTTAGATTTAAAATAGTAGTATATCAAGTTGGATGTCCCCAAAATAAAACATATAATTTAGTAATTTCTCCTTCACACGTGTTTTATAAAATACTTATGTGGATAATGGATTATAATGTTTGACATATGTATGATTTCCAACAAAATTTAGAAAATATCTAGCTCATCATTATGTTTGCCCAATATTTATAATTTTTAAAATAACTAACAAATCCCTATTAATTAAAATTATATGAAATCAAATTTATTTATTATAATAATCCAATATATAATGTCTACAAATATTATTATCATTAAATAATATAAAAAAAATATATGGTGGATGCATGTGCATAGTAACAATAATGGAAAAGATAACGGAAGTTATAACTGTAGGAATATTTTTGTCCAAAAAATTATATAGTACAACTCTAAAAGTACAATGTACAAAATGATTAGCATTAAAAACATAGGCATAAACTTTGATTGAGACTTATTATGTTTTTAGATTAGATATATCAAAGTAAATGTTACACTTAACATCATAAATAAGGGAGATGGTGTGATAGTGGGAGAAGATTATGGGATATTATATGTATTGTTTTAATTGGATTTATAATTATAGGTATTATTTTTAGGATGTAAAACTTAATTTAAAAAAGTCCGGTTAATCGAAAAAACTTATATTCGATTAATTTGATAATACCAAACCGTGGACCGTCAATTAATCAAAATCTGACACCACCTAGCTCTCATATGGAAGAAGAAGAAGAAGTCTTTTGGACAAAGAAGACAAGAAAACCGAGTCACAACAGAATTAATCCAATCGTTGTACCGTTTTGAATTTAAATATCGACCGCGAACGTTTGTTGTTCAATTCACATTACAACTCTATTATTATTATTATTATTATTATTATTATTATTATTATTATTATTATTTACTGTAAAGCATATGTATGAATCTTATATTATATGTTATATTTTCTGTATCTCATGTTATGCAATTTAGTACCATAAGCGTATGTATTCTGTACCTGAAATAAAGTAAATGTAACATGCGTTTTTGTGTCTTGTGCTATGCATTTTTGTGTCTTGTGTTATGCGTTGTTGTGTCTTATGTTATACAATTTTGTACCTTAAGAATATTGATTTTGTACCTGAACTAAAGTAAAAATAAAACATGTGTATGTGTCTTGTGTTATGTGTTTCTGTGTCTCATTTATGCAATTCTGTATCTTAAGCGTATGGATTCTGTACCTGAAATAGATTAGTAGTTGTGTAACACACAACATATTGTGTGTCTTATTTTATGAATTTATGTCTTGTATTAGGAAATTATTATGTGCTTATAGGGCATATATTATCTACATAAATCAGATTTGAGAATAAGTAAATATATAACATATGCATGTGTCTTGTGTTGTGAGATTTTTTTTTTTTTTTTTTTTTTTGTTTCGTGTTATAAAATTCTGTACCTTAATAGTATTAATTCTATATGTAGAATATATATAGAATTTGTTAAAAAGTAAATATCAAAATGACGTCGTTTTGATTCATGGTGTACAATGGTCCACGATATAAATTGTCCTGTGGCGCTATGTTGTCCCAAGAGCCAATTAATGTGAGATGTCTCACTCACTCATTTACTGTCATCACTACTCACAGTACACCACCTAGCTCTCATACGACTTTGCTATTTTGATTAGCCGGCAAACTAATAGTATACACGTACTGATTTGGACTAGTTTTACTGCATAGACTTTTAAATTATATTTCTTATATTTTACTCCTTAATGTAATGAGTATTTTTTTTTTTTTATATGTGTCTCAATACAAATGTTTACATTAAAAATTTATGTATAAAAATAAAAGTTAAGAGTAAAAAATGGAAATACATGTAATATTTTTTTATTTGGACTGCCCGGTAATCAAGTAGGGTTATTTGAATCAGTCATAATAATCCCAACAATGATAACCATGAATAGTACGTGTAAATAATTTGACTTTTTGTTGTTAAATGTACACTATTTTAATTCTTATATTCCTTACATATTGCTTTATGTTTTTGTTTGTTTAATTGTCTTTTGGATTTAAAAGTAATTTGTTAAGTTTTATTTTATTGATGGTCTAGGGAGTAGTTGAACGAGTTTTCATATGTTAAGCCATGAGACATTTTTTGACCACTCCAGGACAAAATATATAATGATTCTAAAATGACATTCGAAAGAAACCAAGATCTTTTAGGACTTTAATTAGACTTGGTTTTTGTACCGTGTTAGTGGATAAGAATTAGAACTAGTCATTGAGTTGTCACATTACAACATCCTTTTTTTGTGTGTGTGTGTGTGTGTGTTAATTTGCACTGTGTACCTGCGATTTTAATGGGTTAACATTGCTTAATAAACAACGGGAGTTAAGGGAGAGTAAAAAAAATTGGATCAATCGAAAATCGAATCGTCCGAATATTTAGATTTTGGTTATTAAGGTTAAAAAAAATCGGTTATTTTAGTTTTTCGGTCGGTTATCAAGGGAAAATTGAAAGATGACCGAAAAACCGAAGATTAAAACAAAGAAGAAAAAAAAATCTAACCTTATCGCATTTACATTTTGCAGGTCCATAATCTATCGCATTAATTTTAATGACTTATTAGATTCCTTTACATTTGTTAACCATATAATGTATAAATATAATCCATTTATATCTCACTAAACTACTATTGTACTTGAGTACATTAATTTTAATTGATTATAAATAGTAAGATATTGTTTTTTTTTTTTTTTTTTAATAATTTAGTGTTTTCCCTACCAAAAAATAAAAAATAATTTAGTGTTTTAGGTTTTTAGGGGGTGTTTGGTTCAGGTTATATAAGATAACCAATGTTATATTTGCTTAGTAATATGAGATTCTCATGTTTAGTTCAAGTTATGTAACTTTCCCAAGGAATGTCAGATAACCTCCGCATTAAGTTTTTAGCTATTGGAGGGAATGTGAAATACCCTCCAATTTCTTAGGTAATCTCACATTCCCTTGTCTTATTACTAATGTTGGGTTTTGGACGTTTTAATCAATTTATCTTATTATTGTTGTTTTATTTACATATCTTAGTTTTAAACTAAACACAAGAATCTAACATTCCGTGAACCAAAACCCCCTTAGCGTTAATCAATAAATAAAATAAACCAAAGCAATTTTTTAAAGTCTGGTTAAGCATGAAGTTGCAGTACATTAACAAGTGAACTGGAGAATTGGTAAAAGTGTGATCGACCTTTAGGGAAGAAAGGCTAGCAAGAAGCAACTTCCATTTGCCGTCATGTGCTAGGGAACAAAATCATGTCGCGGATTGGTTAGCTAGAAATCATGGTTCTGAGCCAGATTTGGTTTTGTTGTATTTTTGCCCCAACACCGAACTTGCGCCACGTGTCCACAGTGATAATATCGGGGTTCCTTACACCCGCGACGATTGATTGTTATTTTTATTCCTCTTGGGACTCGGCCCTTCCTTTGTATTTTTTTAAAAAAAAAAAGTAACACAGTCAAGACTGTTTATATATGTAGGGCATGAAGCTGGAATTGAAACTGACTTCACGTGGCTTGCACAATAATTGGATGTTCTGATTACTAAAGCGATAAGAGAGCAAAGAATTTATTGTAGCCATCCTCCTCATGCATATATGTTCACAGAAGTAACCAGATGTTTTCTAAAATGAGAAGCTTTAATTTGCTGGTGAGCCAAAAAAGGACTGCTTATCTGATCCCACTCTTTCGAAAGAGACTTGAACTTGAGCAGTATTTAGCTGGGAGGAAAGGAAGGATATACATGTGTCTTAACTCTTAACCATCTTTAATCAAGTCCTTTCTTATGTTGTGAGCAACAACTTTAAAAACTTTGTCATTAAACTTCTGATTAGCAAGAATACTAAATTCACAGTTGTCATTTGTCAAGATCGGTTATAACCCACCGAAAACCATCCGTTGGCCGATCGGTTATGAAGGTTCGGTCAAAATTTTGGTTATTAACCGAAAATTGACTGATGTTCACCCCTAACGGGAGTAGCAATTGTTATACAGTAGATCAGGTTCGACCCTAGTCCAAAAATTATATGTTACAATTAATATATTATGTGCCTTCAATTAATTAAATTACCAATAAAATCACCGCATACAAATTTTACTTTACGAGAGTTCATATATCGTCTTTCCATAGGTGAACCCCGCTATATGTAGATGAGTTATATTACATGTATTCTCAAATTATAATCTTTCACTTTTATTTCATGATGTAACAAATAAAAATTTGATATTTTTATCACGTAATTCAAAACAAATGTCTAAATTAAGAATTTATGAGAGAGAATAAAAGTTATTAGGAATAGACAGGGGTTCTTTATACTTATCCATCATGTCCAAATGTCTAATCAAAGCCGTTTACTTTGCTCCATAATCCATATTACGGAGTATTTTACATTGAATATTACCCCTACACGTTTTTTAATGAACGTCTGATTACTAAATAAAAAACAGTTTTTCTTTTGAACGAATGTGCATATAAATAGATGTATATATTTGGAAAGGTGATAGGTACACATCAGCTAGCTTCTTTAGCGTAGTTTCTTATTCAAAGTAGTATTCATAGAAACATATACTCCGTACTATTTTCTTTCAGTGATCGTAGTTGAATCTTAATTGGCATTTGGGTGGGTAGTTGGAACAGCCATTTCTGCTCTGCTCTCTGCGAAAAGATGAAGTTCGGGAAGGAACTGGCTTCCCAGATGGTTCAAGAATGGGGGGAAGCATACATGGATTACAACTTTCTAAAGGGAGTTCTGAAAGATATCTCGCGATTCCGGCGGCGAAACGCGGCGGCGCAATCATCTGTTCCGGCGGCGGCGGCGACGCGGAAGAATTCATTGAAGAGAAGGCTGTCCATGTACCGGGCTTTTAGCGGGTTGACGAATCGATTGAGCAGCCCTAGAGGCACTCCCAGGAGCAATCATGAGGATGAAGAAGTTATACTGGTGAATGCTGTGGAGCAGGAAGGGATTGGAGCGCCGCAGTACCAAACAATGTTCCTTATGTCGTCAGAAGCCGGAGGAGAATACGAGCTGGTGTTCTTCAGAAGGCTTGACGATGAATTCAATAAAGTTGTTAGGTTTTACAGAGAGAAGGTGGAGGAAGTGAGGAAGGAGGCGGATGAGCTAAGCAAGCAAATGGATGCACTTATAGCTCTCCGGATCGTCGTAGAAAAACCTCCGGTGGATATCAATGGCGCCCAGTCCCAGAGAAGAACAGATTCTGCAGTCATTGAAGCTAAGTCACATATGGATGCAATACAAGAAATTGAGATGAGTGGTGAAGAGGTTGCAGAAGATGGTGAAACATCTGCAGGAACTGCGACAATGGCTGATCAGAACACAAAGATTGAAGAAGAGAAGACTAACAACTTCACAGATTTCAGGCCTGCTCCATTACACGTGTTGTACGACGTAAGAGTCAACATCCAGCCTGAAACTCCCATCTCCACTTTGAAGAACATTTTGATGGCATCAAACTCTGAACTCAAGTACAACAGGGCCGAGCTAAGGAAGGCTGAAGAAAGATTGAGAAAAGCATTCATGGAGTTCTATCGAAAGCTTAGACTTCTGAAGAGTTACTGGTAAGTGGTGATAATCATAATAATGCATTTTCTTATCAGAATTTATGGAGTGACTGTTTTTCCCCTGAATTCACATAAAAATCTGTTGTTCATTGCACCAGTTTCTTGAACACATTGGCATTTTCCAAGATCATGAAGAAGTATGACAAGGTACATATATATCCCCCTATTATCGTATTGAGGTTTAGTCTAATTGCAACCTCTGTTCAGCTTTCATTTTCTTGTTTGTATTGTAAAGATCACTTCAAGGAAAGCTTCAAGGTCATACTTAGAGATGGTTGATAAGTCTTATCTTGGAAGCTCTGATGAGGTTTGTCTGCTTTTCATAACATGGATTTCGTTTTCAGATTAAGATTAGACCTGCAATGACATATTGGTTCTGATCTCTTTCCAATTTTCCATTCAATTCCCAGGTTAGTAGACTCATGGAAAGAACAGAAGCCACATTCATAAAGCACTTTGCCAATGGAAATAGAAGGAAAGGAATGAGTGTTTTAAGGCCTCATGTGAAGCGCGAGAAGCACAGAATCACATTTTTTCATGGTGAGATTGTGAAACTAACCGAGTTAAATTATAAAGCAAACACATGCTAAAGAGCCCTTCGGTTTTTGTCTTGCAGGCTTGTTCTCGGGCTGTTCAATAGCATTAGTTGTAGCTATTATTGTTTCTATACGTGCTAGACATCTTCTTCAACACGAGGGGAGTGATCAGTTTATGGAAAATATATTCCCACTTTACAGGTGTGCTTGCCTTATGTGCAATATGCAGTGTGTAAACTTTAACAAATTACTAATAATCTGCAATTTATGTAGTTTATTTGGATTCATTGTCCTACATATGCTCATGTATGCTGGGAATGTATACTTTTGGAGGCGATACCGCATAAATTACCCCTTTATATTTGGCTTCAAGCAAGGAACAGAACTTGGTTATAGAGAAGTTCTCCTCCTTGCTTCAGGCATTTCTGTACTTGCTTTGGCTGCTGTTCTCTGGCACTTGGATATGGAAATGGACCCTGTAACAAGAAGTTATAAGGTGCTCACCGAGTCGGTTCCATGGATCCTGATTTCTGTAAGTCTAGCCGCCTAATTGCATTTTATCATTGTGCTATGGAACTTCTATTTTGACCATAAAATTCTCTTATTTTTGTCATTTCCAGGTTCTGCTAACAATAACATTCTGCCCTCTCAACATCGTGTATCGATCAAGTCGCTTCTTCCTCATTAGATGTGCCTGGCACTGCATCTGTGCTCCTCTTTTTAAAGTATGCCAATCTGCACATGTTAGAACAGACCATAAGAATCTTAAAGTTAATGTTCAGACATCTGAAATTTCCTGTTTTCACAGGTGACCCTGCCTGATTTTTTCTTGGCAGATCAACTTACCAGCCAGGTTTCCTCCTTTTAGCCTTAGATTCCATCAACCTTAATGTCTACAAACATCATTAACTGCTGTGCTCTGATCTTATATTACAGGTTCAGGCCATCAGGAGCTTTGAATTCTACATCTGTTACTATGGATGGGGAAACTTCAGACAAAGATCAAACACATGTCAGGACAGTGATGTGTATAAAATCTTTTATATAATTGTAGCAGCAATCCCATTCGTTGTTCGGTTACTTCAGGTATGCTAGCTAATAACCAGCCTGATTAACAGCTAATTAAAAAGATTCAAGAACTCATAAATTGGCATGGGTGTTGATATATATGCAGTGCCTTCGTCGCTTGTTCGAGGAGAAAGACAATAGCCAAGGGTTGAATGGTATCAAGTACTTCACAACAGTTGCTGCACTGGTGCTAAGAACACTGTATGAGCAAAAGAAAGGAACAGCCCTGAGAGTCCTGGCAGCAGCCTTTTCAGGGATCACGACCATTGCCAATACGTACTGGGACATTGTTAGAGATTGGGGTCTGTTGGAGAGGAACTCCAAGAACCCTTGGTTGAGGGACAAGCTCCTTGTTCCAAACAAGGCTGTTTACTTTGCTGCAATTGTAAGTATAAAAAAACCATAATGAAAATGGCAGTCTGTTTTCTTGAAATCTTCATGTTCTTTGCTGGTTCAAATGCAGGTTGTGAACATCATTTTGAGGCTGTTATGGATGCAACTAATTCTGGGATTTAATCTTCCGTTCCTCCATAGGAAAGCCACGGCTGCCATTGTTGCCTGTCTGGAAATCATCCGCCGCGGCATTTGGAACTTTTTCAGGTTAGTATATAGTCACATTGGCCAACAAAACAGTATGAATATGTCTCAAGTTGGTTAAGTTGTTGATTTGGAATGTAACCAAAATACGTGTTACAAGTTCAACTCCTAATGGGAGCGGCCTATTAGTCTTCTATAGTATAATTCACCTCCTTGTGATCCTTAAGTTGGGATCACAAGGCTGAGTTTACCCGTGCATACCCTAAGATAGTGGCAAAAAAAAAAATGAATATGAGGTTGTTGAGATGGTCTGGTAATGTTGTGTGTTTTTTACTGTTTAGGTTGGAGAATGAGCATCTGAATAACGTTGGAAAATATCGAGCGTTCAAGTCTGTGCCATTGCCATTTAACCATGAAGTGGACAAGAGCTTGTAGCGCTTGACAAATGACAATGTCTTTTTTGCCTTATTTTTATCTTTTTTTTTTTTTTTTTTTTCGGAATTCTTTTTTTGTATATTGCCATGTCATTTAGTAAAATATTCGTTTTAATGGACCAAAATCCTCATAACGGGATAATGCAAAAAGAAAAAAAAAAAAAAGGAAAAGAAAGGGCCAACTGTCTTTCAGGTCGAGTAGGCCAGGCGAGGCTTTCAGGTTGGGAAAGGGTCTGGGTCTAAAGGCGGTCCGAACCCGATTAGGTCCTGGGAATGAGAAGGATCGTAGACCGGAGTATATTCTCTATCAAATGTATATGGTCTCCAGATAAAGTTGTTCGGAACAGGACTCAAGAACTTCAAAAATCTATGCTAATAAAATTTAACGGAAAGTAATAGAAGATAATTTTAGAAAGCTGATCAGGACTAATACGATACTGGAATGGTACACCAAATGATGAATTCCAGATGATGCATTTCAAAAATTCGTGATCAAAAAATCAAGACGTTTCGTTAAAAACACCAAATGGTACATCGAAGTTCCGGATGGTGCAAAGAATGAACAAGACACCAGAAGGTGCACCATAAAGATAAGCATCGAAAGGTGCATTATGGCACCAAATGATGCACTACAAAACAAGCATCGAGAAGTGCTACTCACCATTTAATTTCTTAGTTTCTCAACTTTAAATGGTTTATTTTGATAATTAATTTCTCATTTGTGCAACATAAGTTTTATCGTCCTCATATAGGACACTAGGGGTAAATCATAGCATAACCAGTTTAGTGTGTGTGTTTTTTGTTTTTTGTTTTTTGTTTTTTGTTTTTTTTTTGTTTTTGTTTTTGTTTTGTTTTGTTTTGTTTTGTTTGTTTTGTTTTTTTTTTGTTTTTGTTTTTTTTTTTTTTTGTTTTTTTTTTTTTTTTGTTTTGTTTTTTTGTGTGCAAGTAAACGACGATGTTAATTCAAGTATGGTCCGAACACAAAACATTACAAAGAAAGGAAGGGGATGATCAACCCAATCTATACAATCAGGCAAAGAAAGCGCTTCTCTAGCTAACAAGTGGTCAACCCTGTTCACTGATCGTTTAGCAAACAAGATACACGCAAAAGGAAAATTACGTAGTAAGTCTTTAATATCAAGTAAAAGCAAGTCAAAGGGAGAATAAAGAGTCCTAAAATTCAGCCCGTGAACAACCTGTAGAGAGTCAATTTCAATTTGGAGGTGGGTGAGGATCTGGTACTTTAGCCAGCTAAGAACCTCCCGAGACCCATGGCTTCCGCCTCAGGAGGTGAATAAAGGCCTAGAATTGGGGCAGACCTGGCCTTAATGAAGGCACCATTTGCATCTCTTAAAATCCAACCCACACACATGCAACGTCTTTGAGTGTCAACAACAACGTCAACATTGATTTTAATCCATCCCCGGGCTGGTTTCTGCCATGTAATGATAAGTTGCTGATTTGGGGGAGGAAAAACAGCCTCTTTCGCTATTATTCCAAACAGCCTCAGCTCATTTCGCACAAGCGACAAAACCCATAACCTAGCAGACATTAACATAACATTTTCCCGGCTCTCCGTACGTAACATATTCTCAGCGAACACCACAAAAGGAGATCCTTGCAACACATTGAGAGAATCTGAAAAGCAAGATGACACTCACAAAAGAGATGAATGATCGTTTCCGCATCGGAGTTGCATAAAGGACAACCGCTCCTCAATATACCAAAAAATCGTTGTTCTATTATACTATTTAAAAGTGTTTTTATAGTTTTTCTTCTAGATTTTCAATCCTAAAAAACAAACCTTAGTAGAACACTATCAATAGGTTTTATGTTAAATCACCTCCCTAAGAATTTGAGTATATTATGTTGGGAATAATGAACCAAAAGTCGATTTAATATCCCAAAATAATATTATATATACACACGAAAATATATAAAATATTATTAGATATATATCCGAAATATATATATATATATACACACAAATATATATAAAACGGACCCAAAAGTTATATATACATATATATCTACGAAAAAGATATACAAATATATATCAACCAAAAAAATTGGAACTTATAATCCTCGGATTATAAATCCAATCCAATCACTACAACAAAAAAGAGAGGATTTTTGCTTAGAGCATAATCCAACACGAAAGAAGAAGAGGAAGAAAGAAGGTAAGTACGAGTCAGGCGAAGTGCTCTTTTTCCTTAAAACCTTATTTGTCACCTCACAAAAGTGTTAAGAGCATTGTGGCCTAGGCTTCCCAGGATAAAACGTACTACGGTTCGACATTTGAGCATCCAAACGAATGAATTCGACAAACTAGAGCACAGGAAGAACACAGCTTCAAGAATGGAGTAGGAGCAGAGTTTTGGAAGAGTAGAAAACTTATTTTCTGTGTGTGTGTTGTTTTCTTGTTCGTAGTTCTTCACTACTTCTCGTGGAAAACCTGCTGCTCCAACAACACTCTTATATAGGATGTGAAGGATCAATAGCATTTAATTTTGGCATTCAAACCTCCTTTGTAACTCCTGAAATAGCAGCCCCATTAACAGAGAATTAAATTCAAAATTCAAAATTCAAAATTGGAATTAATGGACAATTAATTCCGTTAACTGATGAATTTAACCTCACAACGGACTGTTGGCGGACATGATTACTCTCAGCCAAGGAAACTTTCGACCTCCCATCGAACTTTCAGCCTCAAAGCCGAGCCGTGGCTGCAACTTTCGACCTCCCAAGGTCGAATTAACTTTCGGCCTTGGATCATGGTCTCGGCCAAGGCCAACTTTCGGCCTGGCTGCAACTTTCGACCTCCCAAGGTCGAACTTTCGGCCTTGGACCATGGTCTTGGCCAAGGCCAACTTTCGGCCTCAAGGCTGATCGAACTTTCGGCCTTTGACCTCCCAAGGTCGAACTTTCGGCCTTGGACCATGGTCTCGGCCAAGGCCAACTTTCGGCCTCAAGGCTGATCGAACTTTCGGAACTTTCGGCCTTTGACCTCCCAAGGTCGAACTTTCGGCCTTGGACCATGGTCTCGGCCAAGGCCAACTTTCGGCCTTTGAGCCATGGCAGCTCGGTTCGGCCAGAGGCCGAATGCATTGGAAAAAATGTGATATATATATGATATTGGACAACAATTGTGGCCGGTGCCGACGCACACAAGCTCAAGCCTTTTTGATCTTAGTTTGGGATTTGATTTGCACCACCCCACTCTACACATGTAAGAACCTCTATGTTATACATTCAATAAGCTTTTAAAAGACTCTTGTATAAATAGTGGCGCAAATCCTCTTCCCAAATCAATGTGGGACAGAAGCTCACTTTTTCCCTTCATTTTTCCAACTCAATGAGTCTACTTTGAGAATCAATATCTCATTCACCCATTATCCGTTTTGAGCGTACAATATATCAATCTCTTCTTTTCACTACGAAGAATCCGAATCCACTTTGACCCGACTCAAATCGAAAATGGACCCCACTGATAATTGTATCACAAAATAGCCACTTAACATACCATTTTATGCTATTTTAATGCTATTTTTCCAACCTATTATAAGTGGTTAGAATTACCCGGTCGGAGCTTGAATATTATATATGTGAATAATCTGCATGACTTTCTCTCCTAAAGTGTGTTGGAAACGTGAGCAATGACCAATTAAGAAAATATGAACAATTGAATATTGGAAAATTAAGCTTCACAACATACATGCATGTAATTCAATTATAAAGACTTTACTTTTCTGAGTTTCTCCAATTGAAATTGTAAAAATAGAATAATCAAAATGTTGAAACTAATTGGTTAATCACTCTTGTGTGGTTTGCGAATTATCTCATTTTGGGTTGAGCTTGCTATACAAAATATTCCTAGTACAATTTGTCTCTTATGTATAATTTATGGACTATTGCATAAAAGTGATATTTACTCAATATATACTGTTAGATAGTGACTGCATGCAATTTCTTTCTGCATCCAAAAAAAAATAAAAAAATACAAAGTAATAAAAATATAGAAAATGATCAAATAAGTCCCTAGACTTTACATAAAAAATCAATTAGGTCCCTAAATTTTTAAAAAGTGCAATTAAACCTTCATACATGTTATTTTTGATCAAATAAGTCCAACAACCAATCACAAACATGTTATAAGCGGTCATTTATATTCCGATGAATCTCTGGCAACAATGGCTCCATAGAAGGCGACCATCTCTGGTGCCCTTCTCTTGGGGAAGACGATCTTTTCCTGGAGAAGGCGACCGTCTCTGGTCGACCTTTTGGTCCATTGCCAATTTTTTCAGTGAAATTTGTCGATTAACGGCGAAAAATAATAGTCAACGGTTTAATTTTATCGGTAACCTGTTGGTTACTGGTATCTATGCCCGGGAATCAAACCTACATGACTTGGTTGACGGCTTGAGTAGACATAATCTCCAAATAGCAAGTCATGGCAGCGTTGTTGTGAGCATACGTACTTAATAGTGCTTGTTGTTGTGATTGTATTGTAGCAATGAGATCATCGTCATCCCCTTACGATAACGAAGATGGGTTTAGGAGTGAGGATGCAAATGGGTGTAGGGGATTCATATCTCATGATTGTTCTGGTGAAGGGATGAACGATAAGTTTGTATGCCATGTACTTATATATTCGATATAATATCTTTCCTAAATCTCAAAAGACAATTGTTTTCAACCATTGAATTAGATCACAAGAATCTTAGCTTTTAATTGGTATGAATCATCTTAATGAGATCTTTCAAATGATATAATTTATTTTTAATAATATAAATTTTATATTTAACAATTTAACAAAATATACAAATACATTAAAACTAATCCAAAGGACATAAATGGTGGGAGATGAATAGTGCAACTGTTCATGGTGTGCCATTTTTTTGGCGCAATAGCGCATTCATTGCAGCGCAACATCGCCATTTTTTCGGCGCAATAGCGCATTCATTGCAGCGCAACATCGCCATTTTTTCCTCCAAATTGGTACTTTGCCGCGTCCTTTGGAGTTGCCCTAATAGACTTAACGTACATTATTAGGTGTAGCAGTACCGGTCATCAATTAATCAAAATCATTACACAGAATTAAAGAAGAAGTCTTTCAGACAAAGAAGATC